GTGTGTGTGTGTGTGTGTGTGTGTGTGTGTGGTCTTGGCTAAGAGCTCAGCCTGTGGCCGTTTTCTTTATGTCATGATAGCTGGGCCCCCCAGTATGTATACAATCAGACATTTGCATGTCCAAGAAAGAACTGACAGTATCTTCAGTCCTAGACCTTTTCCTAAATTATTCATCTTTGTATCCTTCTATGGTAAATTGGGTTCTCCAGATGTGAACCATAAAGAATTCCTCAAAAAGAGTACAATATTAAGACTTATCCCTGCTTCCTCCAGCAAGATACAGAAGCTCAGTATACCTGACGCAACAGTCAGAACGAGAAAAACAAGAAACGTTCCACCTGAAAGAATCAGGGAAATAAAACAATACAGATCTTTGATGTGCTATGCCAAAGCAGTACCTGAAATTAGCTGAAAAGTCTTGGGACAAGCTTTCAGCAGGTCAGGTTTTATTTTCCCCGGCACAGTCTCTCTGGAGTTGATGATTTTCACTTTGCCTTTGAAAAGAAGAGATATTATCAATTTACTTTTGTCTCCACCACAGGACACGCTCTACAATATGCTGTATTAGAAGGTTGAATGAATGTAGCTCTTACCAGAGCTGTCCATCACGGTGAATATCGACCCCCCTCCGAGGCCCATGCTCTGTGGGTTTATGATGGACGTGCACAGCAGCGCAGCAATGGCGCCATCTACCGCTGATCCTCCTTTTTTAAGCATGTCCCTGAAAGACATATCCCTTATTGCTTGCTATTCGTAGCAATATATAAATATGTTATACTACACATGTACCTGCCAAGTAAGGGCATGTAGTGTTTATTTTGCATATGCTGGTGCTATAACGACTCCTTTGGTTATTAAATATTGTATAGATTTGCATCTGATTCAAAGAGGCATATTAGTTAGAATGGAATTGTTACCTCGCTACTCTGATCTTTACCATTATAGTATAAATATAAAAGTTTTTATATAGTTTTAATAGGACTTCGTACTAGTCTTCTCATAACATAGAAATAGTCGTTTGTGCGTAATATGATGTTAATTTGTTCTGGTCAGTACGGTGTTTATGAAGAGCACCTTACTGACCAGAACAAATTGGCATGTTTGCAAAACAGAAGTGCAAATTCTCACTCACCGTCCAATCTTCGAACATTTCCCAGAGTCTGCAGCCACTGCAGCGCTTGAGAAAGTGCCATCTGGACACTTAGTGTGCACCACAAGCACCGCAATACATCCAATTGTAGCAACCACGCCGAGCAGCATCAGTGCGCAACAAGTGTACACTGTCTTCTTTGACCTCGCCATGCTTGGTCTTATCCAATACCTCCGCGGAGATTGTTAAGCTTTCATCATGAACTTTACAGGTTATCTCTCTCTGAAATACTATAACTTTACTGACCGACTTGAGCCCGGTTGCCTCATCAAAAGAGACGCGTCTGGCTCCACCTCTCCTTCCGGGGCGCAGGAGGAGGGTAAGTCCCTATATTTTGTTTCTAATATTTGCCACATGCTTTAAATTCCTCAGATATAGCTATGCCGTGTTCTATGCAGACCGGATGGCACGCAGCAGATGATAGAACGTTCATTACAACTTTAAAAAATGTTTATTTGGACTTGCAAACGATGACTTGTAAGCATCTCATGACTCACTCTTTTTCTTGGGCTCAGTGGGTGTGTGCTCATGAGCAAATTGGTCTTCCGTTAGTGGGTGTAAACTGACGGAGAGAGTCACGCTGACCTTGAACATAACTTCAAATGTGCCATTAAAAGCAGGATTTGGGATTCATTTCTATTCTCTAATTGGGCCCATGAAGATAGTAGAATGAATAGCTGTGGATACCTAAAGAGAATCCCTGTGGGGTCAAGAATGTTGTGCTACATCCCTGGTTTGACCTCAAAACTCTGGGCAATAGAGGCTTAAGGCGCAACACACACTGTAATTAGGAGCTTAAAAGGCACAATTGTCCAAATTAAAACTAAAAGGTTCTCACTTGTACAGGTTTTAGCTTGTTCATTTTTTAACTGTGAATAGTACTGGTATTGCACAAAGCAAAACAGGTGTAATTACACAGAGACCAGTCTGGGCCTGTTCAACTCATAATCAACATGAACCCACATATATAATAGTGGGTTATTGTGTAATCAAAGTTATGCTGCAGAAATTGTTCTGAGTTTTCATGTCAACAAGATAACATTGCAGAGCTTCGAGCTCCTGGTATGAGCGCCAATGAGATAAGTGTAGGCTCTCCAGGATTGTTGTCCGCAGTTGGATCCATCTAGGAAAAGTTGTTGATCATATTGTCGTGTTATGTGTCATAACTATCACCATCAAAATACTGCTCTCTGTGAGCGCAACAGTTGCAAAGCATCTTGGGAAATGCTGTCTGTCGTTTTATCAAATAGTAGTCGATGGGCAACTATGAGGCATACGGAAGAGGGAGGCTCTCAATTGAGTCAAGTCAGCCAATGATTAACAGAACAACACCGGATAGAAAGAAATTCTGACTTCGAAATAAAGTAGTGGCCCACGGAAAACTTAGAAAACAGAATCACTAGGCTTTGAGTACTGCTGCACTAATGATTATTGTCATTGTCTACCAACCTGCCAGTTGTTCTCTTAGGAAATAGTAAAAAATGCCCAGAGCCCAAGTTGTATTCAAATTGCTTCTTTTATCCAACCAACAGTCAGTTATATTATAGGCCTATGACAAAGTAAAGCATTACATCTTTACGTTTGAGGCTGGCAGGCAGCATTGGATTTTTTGGATTTTGCTTGGAATATCACCGAACAATGAATCATCAAAATATAATTGATTCATTTTCTGTCGATCAATTCATTGATTAATCAATGAATAAGCAAGCATTTTAGCGCTGGTGTTGGAGTAATGTATTGTTTTGTATATTCTCAGTATAATCATTGCAGTGCAGGCAATTGTTTAAGCCTAAAATTGTTGTTAAATTATTTTGCTGCTAACTGTTGACGTTGTACTGTAATCGGGTGAGTTTGACATCACCCTATGACTCATTACTGGGTGTTCCGGCTACCAGTCCGTCCATGCCACGTTTCTATAATTTGGCTCCAAAACTCAGAATGCTCCTCACTGAGACATTTATTTTGAAAGGGCTGACCGGAAACATTGTTGCGTTTTCTTCATTTTTTTATGCTCGGCGGCTTCCCTGGTGGAGCCTCAGTATTTACAACAATATTGTCTGAAGCCTATCGGCCGCTGCTGTCCATCACAGACACACAGACAGGGAGTCAACCCGTCGTGGGACAGCTTTCTTATTTTTTCTCTGGCGCGCGATGGGTGTCGGTTCCAGTTAGGACTTCTTTTGTGCATTTTGGAGCTATTTCCTATAATGTTGGCGAGTGATATCCGTCTACCTTGTGCACTGCAGTGGTGCGCAGCTTCGCCCGGGAGAAACACCTGTGCGCCTCTCCTCTCCACTGGCCACAGTCATGAATGTTGAGTAGGTATGGATACAAACCTGTGCACGAAACAACGCACCAAACATCCACGTAGCTCTAGTGAAGGAAACACGAGCTCGGTTACTACCATCTGCTTGTTTTCCCTGGCTTATTGAGCGTTGCAGCTCATCGGTACGTTGATCATCAGTTTTTATGGCATTGTGGCCCTGGTGGCTGCAGCTCTGGTGGCAGAATTACATGGAAACAGTGGAGGAATAAGGCAGGGTGTGTGTATGTGTGTGTTTTGGATGGCTTCGTGGTTGGGTTTGATGGTCCTTAAATCAGGGTGTGTGTTGGGGGATGTGGGGGCGTCTTGATGCTGTCAGACAGGATGTAGGGGAGGATCTATTGGAGCAGGATTATCCGACCATTTTTGGTGAGAAGCATCGCGGAGATCTGATCACAGTTGACGCATTGCACTCCTCGCGTTTTGGCTGATGATCCATTATCATTATATAATCATACTAATATAATCCTGTCTTCCTTCTTTCTTTCTTTTTTTTTTTACTTAAACAGCATGCATACAATTACACCGAATACAGCTCGCCCCCTCCCTCGCCCCGAGAGGAACTGTTAATGCAGCTCATGCTGAGCAACCCATGAATGCCAATTATACATGTGGGTGGGTATCAACACTGTTTGAGTTTATATAATTCACTGTTTAGTGCGCGCTCCTTTAAGCGTGGTGCGTTAAAAATATAAAAGCTAGAGATTTGTCTTAAATGCAGCAATGTGCCCATGACTCATTGTTTCCTAGTATTGGAGAGTGTGAATTCCAAATTGTGTGTGTGTGTGTGTGTGTGTGTGTGTTTGGGGTGCAGTCATTTTGAAGTCCACAGTGTGTGGGTGAGTTTCAGCAGGTGTGCTTTGTGGTGCATACAGGATGGGAATTTGCTCAAACTCTGAGGAGGAAGATATGTTTCGCAGACCCAAAGCACATTGTTATGATGCCTGCGTCAGTTTAACTCATTCTGCATGCCAACACATTGACAGTAAATAGTTTTGATCCTTCGTGTCAATCGCAGCATCACCCCTAATGTCAGTTTCAGTATCCTCCTCTCTCCTCACCCCTCTTTCTCTCCTTCTGTCTTGGTTTTTTCAGGGAACAGATAACCCTAAGGTGCGGTGTCTGTCTGCATTTGTCTGAAAGAAAGAGAGAGGGAGCAGCACGAATACCGCACAGCCAGGAAACATGCAAGGAGAGACCTTCCCCCGTTGCAGACTGGTGAAATGTCAGGACTGAAGAGCGAGTGTGTCAGATCAAATCAGCAGACTGTTCACCATACGGGGAGCTGCTTGACACTAGACTCACTAACGCCCTGTGTGTGGTTTAAGGCCATCCCGATCGAGAACAGACGTGTTAACTAATTTTTCATCAGCACCCCCCCTTCCCGTCAGATTCAGCAATCCAGAGACAAGCCCAGATGGAGTGGTCACTAGAGAATGTGAGGGAGATTGTGGCTGGAGGGATGCAGTCTATCAGGGAGTGTGAGATCTGTGCTTTCGCAATAGCCATGTGTGTGCTGCTGCTGTTCATGTGGTATTGTTACAGGGTGGGCCGGGAGCATGGCTCCAGCCCTCTGCGTGGGAGGTATCTGGCTGGGCCCAGCCGAATTGGAGGGGTGGTGGGGGGCTTCATGAGTTCAGACTGCCGTGGCAAGGGGAAAGGGAAAAATGGATCAATGCTCGAAGAGCAGAACGGCTTCGCCTTCTGCCAGTCGCCAGAGTGCTTCCGGTGTACCAGCGCCGGCGAGAGTCTGAACCAGAGGCTCTATCACAGCCTGCAGGATTACGCCAAGCGCTACACCTGGTCAGGTATGGGCAGGGTGCACAAAGGAGTCCGTGATCAAGGTCGATACCTCAACAGCCGACCGACCATTCAGAGGCCAGAGGTCTTCTTCCTCCCAGACCTACCTTCGGCTCCTTTCTTCTCCAGAGAAGTACAGAGACACGACGTGGAGCTGCTGGAGCAGAGCTTCCCCGCCCTTCTTGCCGAGTTTGAGAGCATCTACCACCAACCTCCAGCCCGCAGCGGCTCCTCCCTGCCACCAGGATGGAAAGCCAACAACACTCCTCGGGGGCAGTGGTGGACCTACTACCTGGTCAACCAAGGCACCCCTCTGGTTCTTAATGTCAGGAGGTGTCCGCGGGCCTGGAGGGTGCTGGGCCAGCTGCGTACCTTCATCGCCAACAACGTGTTTGGAAACGCCTGCTTCTCCGTGCTGACGCCTGGAGCTCTGATCACTGAGCATTACGGTCCAACAAATGTCAGGCTGCGCTGCCACCTGGGTAAGAGAGTGAACTGTTTAGTGAGCGGAAGCCGATTCGACCATGTGATGTCTGAGCCTTATTGTGCATTCAACTTACCACTACAGCAAATTATATATTTGTTTAAATAGCATATTTAAGTAGAGAGGACGAGCAACCTAGTGAATCAGCTGCTGTTTAGACCGAAAATCTGGATCCTCTTGGGTCATGACGGCACATGGCTGAAATTTAGTGGCTTGTGTGATTATTTTTATTGTTTTGACTGCATCTGAGCTTTGATTCTATTTCCAACTCCACCCTCTGAGATGGCTGTAAATAGTGGTATTTGTTGTGGTAGACAGAGTCTTTCGTAAAATGCTTTAAAACAGCATACTGTAATCATACGGGACTCTCTAAGACGAGGTCATTTTTGTCTGGGATATGTCACTTGGGCGATAGTTTATCAATACCCAATGCTTTGCTGTCCCATAATGACAGATGAATGGACTTTTTGTTTTTTCTCTGGCAGGTCTTAGAGTGCCCCCTTCCTGTGAGCTTGTAGTTGGTGGAGAGCCACAGTGCTGGTCTGAGGGCAGCTGTCTGCTTTTTGATGACTCCTTCCTCCACAGGGCCTTCCACGAGGGTAAGAAGGGATTAAAACTGAATCTTTTATTGCACTTCATACCCTTTTTTATTTATTAATTTAAGGAGAATTGACCTAAAAATAGTATAATCCAATATCAAGTCAATTGAGAGCCGTTTTAATACTCTGATGGGGTTTTACCCCAAGATGCAGAAATGGGGTCATGGTTTTTCTGTTGCTTTGTGTCTGTGTGTGTGTGTGTGTGTGTGTGTGCAGGCGGTGCAGAGGACGGCCCTAGGGTGGTCTTCATGGTGGACCTCTGGCACCCCAACGTGGCCGCTGCTGAGAGACAAGCCTTGGACTACATTTTTACTCCAGGCCGCTTAGAGGACAAGGAAGGAAAATAGGTGTGAGTGAGAAACCGTGTCTGACCAAGAGACATATGCCGTGTAGGGAAGTGTCCGTAGGATTGGGGAGCAACTCTTTTTCTGCCTCCAGACCAGCTCCCACTCACTGTGTACATATTCTCTGCCTCATACAGTTTCTTTCATAACTCTCCTTAGCAGATGACCAGACATTGGGCCTCTTTTATCAAAAGTTCAATCTTAAAATGCAGCCATTTTATTAATGTATGTTAACATGATGGCAGGGCCATTTTAGCTTATCGGTCATTATTTTATTTTGAATATATGAATCTTCAATGTATTTGCATATGCAGAATGATGTGACCGAACACTAAAAAAATTGCCCAACAAGCAGTTCTCATCAAATATATTTTTTTTTTCACATTTTCCAACTTTGGGCCAATTTTGGAGCAAAATTATTTCTATAGAAGTTTCTTTTTGAAGCTCAGTTTTTTTTTTTTGGTTGCTGCTTGAAACAGTAGAAGGCAAAGTACTGAACAGATATGATGAATGGATCTTTGCGAGCCAAAAATAATGTGTCACCCTCTTGCTGTTACGCTTCACGGCATATCTAGGTCCATAGGCCAACCTATTCTACCGGTATTCGCTATAGCCTACATGAACTGGAGTCATTGAGTAAGTGTTTGTTGTCCACTTATTAAACATTTAGTGTAAAGAAAGTGTTGGTGGTATTACGTTACACTTAACATCCAATGCCAATTATTTTAAACTTACTGTAACACCTGCATACATTTCCCCCAAGGGCTAAAAAAAAAAAAGATCATTCCACTTTCTATATTACTCAACATATTCAGTCACACTTAAGATGTTTGAGTCAAACCAAAACATGATTGTCGGTGGATATGCCCACTTTCAAATGTGGGACACACTTGCCTCACGCATGAGTGGAAAATCTCTTGCTTGCAGAATGGTGACATATTTTCAATGATTATAGTGCTTATTTACATCAGATCACAGCCAAGGTAAAGCTAAGGGATATTTGCGTCTGTGCTGGATCATTTTGTTCAAAAGGTTTTCAAACACATTGAACGAGATAACAATGCGTAGTTGCATAGTGGCTTTACAAATACTGATTAATGGTAAAAACATCAAATTAAAAGATATGTAAACTGAATTCATTTCATGAAGTGCTATGTTGGTGTGATAATAATAACTAAAGAAAGTATTAATTTATACATTTAAGGCATTTCTCATGTCACCTATCATATCTGTATGTGTTTTGATAGATATGTGATAACGGAGGTCCAATGTTGATCATGACATGAATGTTTACAGACGCAGCTAATGTCTCTGTCTCTGCCGGTGTGGTAGTTAATTGTGCTCCCCCTTGAAAAATCAATCCTGCTTTGAAAGACATGGTTAGAAAAGCACATTTTAGGTCAATTTGTGTGAGTCGGCCTGTGCTGTAACTGGAGGTGAAGCGTTTTTGGTAAATTTACTAAACCCTTGTAATTTGGTTGTATTTGATATAAGGTTTGTATTTCTGTAAATAGGGTTGAGGTAAAAAAAAAACTAAAAAAAACGGAAAGGTCTGAGATGATTTACGATGATTGTCTTCAATTCTATAACTATTGTGTTGTCATGATTTACAGCTAAAGCGTTCACATTTCATTCTCCGTTCCATGAAATAATTTTTGATATATTCAATTTGTAAGATTCTGTAAATTGCTTGAAAATGAAGTACTATCTCTGTTGTTATGTGATGTATTTATTTTGAATCAATCCGTAATTTTGCAGCGCCATTTGGTATCCATTATTAAAGCCACAATCCTTAATTCTTCAACAGCACTTCATGGATATATGTGCACAAAAGGTAGTGAAATGTAACTTCAGCAGCTTTACAGGTCCATCGTAATTAAAGATACCCATCTATTCAATTATAATGTTTACAAAATGATTTAGCTGTTTACAACATCGGCCAACACCGGCACTCACATTGAGCTGTCCATAATTAGGTTTAGAATCAAAAGTGCTGTTATTCCACTTACGAGTGAAAACTGTCATTCCCAAAGCATTGCTTCACATATATACAGTATATGACGGGGCAACCATTTTGTTTACATTAGGATTAAGGATTTGTCCTTTAATGCATTCTTGTGTGGATTTTGAACAGTATTTATGTACATTTAATAAATGGTTGAGTATCTTATTTAACCAGCTGTTGTCAGAGGTTTCACTTTTACACAGATGTCACAGATGTTAAACAAGAGGTAGTCTTCACACTGTAAAGCATGTTGTTCATTCCCTTCTGCTGAATCATCCATTTCATTAATGAAAATAGTGCTGTTACACTAAATCTCAAATACTGATTAACACATGCCACAGGAGCTGAGTAGTTCATTGGTAGAGAAGAACAAAGTCTTCTGCCGAGGTGTTACTCTGGTATTGGTAATACACTCGCACTAATACACAGCAAGGGGTCAGAATAGGTTGAGTTGCCTCTTTTCAGTCAGATGCAGTTTTATAACACTAGCACAGGGAGGCCTATATAGGCATGCAAGTTTTTTCTTGTTAAACCTGCACTGGCAGCCAGAAGCACTAGAATCAATAGTAATATGGTTAAATAGTGTCTTCAATACATTTTGTGTTTGTGGGTTTATATTTGGTAATACATCTGCTAAGCAGTTTAGGGAAAACATCCTTCACTGGAAAAACGTAGCCTATTCTGATCACATTTGAGTTTCTCTAAAAGTACACGGGTGTTGCTAAATCTGTAGGCCTGAAGCTTTGGTGGCTGGAGGCCCATGTTGATGTGAAGTTGATGCCAGTAATAACACAGAATTCATTAAGAAAGCCCTTAGTGCTTGTATAAGCTGCATGTTTTATGGGTACATTGTTTTGTTTCAGTGTCACAGTGCTTGAATTATTAAAGTAGACAATAGTAGTTACAAGCAGTTGCAATACTACTCATGCTTTTTGCACCAGAAGTGTGAGTAAAGCTCAGTGTGTGCTTGAGAACAGGATACTGTAGCATTGCTGGAACGGAGAACAATTTGAAGTTCATACAGTATATGCACAAGGATTATCCTTGAACCAGTGAGCACACATATAGTTTGAATAATAAGACATGCATGTGGGTGTAGAAATATACTAATATGTCTCTTATAAACTAGTGGGATGATTAGCTGTGGTGGAGTCCATGATGGGGTTTCTGACAAAGTGAAAAATTGTTTAATAAGTCATTAGTGTCATACAAATTCAGACGAGCAGTTTACAACTATATACAGGCGACACAACAGCATGATCACCTGTGAAATTACATGACATACACAGCCATGCAACAAATGATAACACATATAATCTTCAATTTACATAAAGGTAACTTGTGAAAATAATCAAGAGCGGCAATTATTTTGTTTGATCAATTACAAAATTGCCTGATATTGGTACCCTATCTTGGTACAGAATAGACTGATATTGGTACCCTATCTTGGTACAGAATAGACTGATATTGGTACCCTATCTTGGTACAGAATAGACTGATATTGGTACCCTATCTTGAGGCCCTGTTCTCTAGAAGCCCTGTGTCAAAATCTAAATTCAACAATATTCATATTTCTGCAGATATTATGCTTACATCTTTGTATTTAAGATTTGTATTTACTCATATTTTCACAATCTAACTCACATACAGAGATCCTCTTGCATGAGTTATTTCCGTTTATAACTGGTTAGTTTGTGGCTCGTTTTCGCCCCGAGATCTTATGGCAGGTTAATATGGCTCTGGATTGACACAATAGTGTCAGTGATATTTCATCCACTGGAAAGACAAACACGACGCTGGTAAAACAATGTTATTCAACACAACACCACTGACCATATCACAAAAAAATTGCTGCTCCTAACACAAAATCAGAAATGGCCTCACAAAGGTTGTTATTGTTGCCGGGACTGTAGCTTATATATTCAACTGAGGCTATTTTTTTGTTTCACTTTGCACATTGACGCTATCTCAAATCAGTTCCTTGTGAGGCACATTTTCATCTATGTGGGCGGGGTGATGTTTATCTATTTCTTCTGTCTTTGTCATGGAAAAGTTTGCCGACCACTGGATATTTTACTACCGTCCATGCACCCACGTCATTGCCACGCTGCCAGAGACCAGCATTCACATCAATGAAAAGGTGACGCGCTCTGCAGCGCCGTTTTTGCCCCTCCGTTCAGCTGTCTGCGCGCGCTCCGGCCGCTCCCGCACAACAATCAGGTGGTGAAATGTAGCCTGACTTAACAGGCTTTGCTATGCTAATATGGGTCGACAATGGAGACAAAACGGTGTATGATGTCGATGATCAACCCACCGAGACAGACTAGACCAGATCCGCTACAATGAGTGCCTCATTTCCAAAATCTGAATCCACGACCTCCTTACTGAAATCATCCTCTGCGGTAAGGAGACCGACACACCTCCCTGAACGCACAGCAGAAAGCCGGAGAAGTCAGCAGCATCAGCACCAGCACCAGCACCATCACCGTCCCGCCGCACTCCAGAGCAACAGCAAAGCCGAGGAGTCATTCTGGTCGGCCGAGTGCGATATCAGTGCCCGGAGACCCCTGTGCCATCCGTCCCTCGTCGGCAGCCAGGACAGCAGTAACGATGCAGCCACTCGGGGCAAGTGTAAGTCACATGCCCCCCACAGCCAAGTTCCTGACCTGCCGGAGCCAAACGGTGAGGCGGACCGAGGAGTGAAGGAGCGCTGCAGGTCATCCAAGCCCACACACCGACACCACCACCACAGGAAGCACAACCGGGAGGACCGGCCGTCGGCAGCAGAACCACCCGAACCTGAGCATCCCAGTCGCTGCCGCACGCACTCCCGTCCGGTCCTCAGGCTGCCCTCCCTGTCGGACAGCAACGACGACAGGGCTCCTCTCTGTGAGCCGAGGGACCATAAAGGGGGCAATTTGGCAAATAGCGGCGGTCAGGTCAACAGTCCCTCCCCGTCCTCCTGCTCCCTGGTCCCGGTGTCCAGCAGGTCCTCTCGCCGCTCCCGGAGGTCCAGTACTGCTTCTTCTGCTTCTGATGTCAATATACGCACTATCCTCAATTCACTGTTTGGGCAGGTAAGTCCCTGACATACAGGGAAATTAATGGATTAATCAGTTGATTTTTAATTAAATGACCTCCACAATTGTTCAGTGAGATGAACTCATTTTGAGAGATTTAATGTGTAAAGTGCAGAGATGCTCCTGGGGCCCTGACAAGCTGTGACAGTGACAACCCAAATCCTAATTTATCTAAAACATATTGGTTACGCCTGTTCTAATAAAAAGGCTTGCAAATAGATAATTTGATTGACCACATTATAATGTCTCTTGTACTGCCCGCTTCATCTGAAAATGAAATGCATTAAATTCCCTTTGGTTTGCGATGCAGAAACTAGTGCTTTGAGCTTTCTACAAAAGTGCACAGATATATGAAGTGGTTAAGTGTGGATTCTGGCTATACTGAAGTGTTTACAATCAATATACGCTAATGTGCTCAGTGATGCACTCTGCAAACACCGTCATCACAGATTGGACTGGGAAAGCTTCTTCTACACATCCATTTCTTATGTAATTTGTAAATACAGCACCACCTCCTACAGACTCTCTCAATCAGGCAGGCCTTTGTTATTTAAGTGGATGTGCTGGGGCAGATGATACTAGTATGGAGAGGTGGAAATATCTGATGTGCTAATGTGTATTTGGTCAAAGATATATCCTATTGTTCTTGCATCATTGAATCAGGAACACTGCCGTGAGGATGTATTTGGAGCAAAGCACTTTGAAGTTACTGTCAGTGACGGAGGCTCTATTTTAAGCCTTAAGTCCATTCACACAAAAGGAAAGAGCTCAGCTTAATATGCTTGGATTCTTATCAGTGGTGTGATTTTGCATAATTTCTGCTCACCGTGCTAGAGTCTGTTAACGGTTTTAGTTTTACATTGCAAATCCTCACAAAGATCCACCTCGCTGCTTAAACTCCTGAAAAATATGTTGCTTATTGAGGGCATTTCCTTGTCCCTTCCTCAAAAGGCAGAGTCTATTTTTGCCTTGTAGGGTGTTTGGATTTTAATCTAATCATGAATCAGCAGGTAATTCAAAATGAGAAATCTCTCAGCCGTAAGATATAGTCAGTATGGGACCAGAGATCATGTGGCTTCAGGAGAAAAACCTGAAAGCCTATTCTACAAATAACCCCGCGAGCAGCTCTGTGAAAGCATTAGTGTGACCTCAAAAATATATTTGGCAAGACTGTTAGATGGAGAGGAGTTCAATGACTGCCAGAAATGTACCGCATGGTTTGAGAGGTGCATGCGCTATCTTTGACATATCGTCTGAACGACGCATTTAAAGTAAAGAGAATTTTTTGAGTCCAGTGTTTCGACAGTGAGCAGATGGTGATCAGGGATGAAAAATTGGTTGAAAGCTTTCATGAAGAGAACCATATCCTCACTAACGTTCTGTGCAGAGGAAAAGATGACCTCGCTGTCTGTGGTCTGATTTTCTGTAGATATATATACAGTAATTGCATTTTTCACAATCACAGTCTTTGTGCGTCTCTCTTTGGTGCCATGGCTGCTGTAGGTCAGAATGACTTTGTCTTTGACTGCAGAGGGCAGAGGATGATGTGTGGGGGTGTAAGGCAAGAAAAGGCAACGGCACATGCAGAATATGAAATGCTATGTACAAATTCAAATGTAGTCTCAAGGCTGCAAACTGACAAATTTGTCTAACAGTTGAGAGAGAGATCGCAGGTGAGGAGACTGGAAATAGGTCATTACAGAGTGTTGTTGTAAACTGCCTGGTGTTGAGTTTTACAGCCTATAAGAGCAAACACCTCACACTATGTGTGTGACCCTGAAGTAAAGATCACCTCCTTGTAATAATTTTCTGCAGGAAAGCTGACACCCCTTATCCCATTTCTCTTGTTTTGGTGCCAGTGACACCACGTTGAACTGTTTACGTTGTTCACAGAATAACTATAACAGTTTGGTCGGTGTGACAGTCGGGTGAAATATCTCACAGACAGTGGATCACCTTCTTTTCCTTTAATAGGCATCATTTAGTTTCTCGCCCTCACTCACCTCCCTCTTTCTCTCTCTCGCTCTCTCTCTCTCTCTGCGTCTCACTGTGTCATATGCTGCTCATACTATTCCTGCATTCAATTACTGCAGATTTTTTTTTTTCCAACCAGCACTAGGTTAGCACCCCTGTCTTCATGGGTCTCGCTCTTGTTTGCACTCGTCTCAAAATCCAGACTGCAAAGATAGCGGAGAAAAGGTCCTCATGGTCCTTTTTAGTGCCTCTTTTCTCCTTTGGTATGGGAAACTGCATAGATTGGCCTCTGAGAACGGTAGGATTGTTTTCAGTGTGATGCACTATTACACCCGGTCTTTCTCAATTTGTCTGGTGGATTTTGAAGGTGAAACTGGTAAAACGAAACCGAACAGTACAGCATTCTCAGAAACTGTCCATGGTTGTGTGCTGTTGCATTTGTTCCTTCTGTCTGTCAGTTATCATATTGCACATTGTTTTTGCAACAATGTTTTTCATATCTGTACATTGTTTTTCAGGAACATCTTTACAAAAACAGGCATATTTCATGATTATTCTACAGTTTGGAGTTTTAATATCCACACTGTTTAGTGTTGGTTGTGGAACTACTCTGAAACCGCACCGCTTGTAGTTGGCTCTCGAGTGCATTTTGATAAACATGTTAAATTAAAGGCTTCCAATTTTGGCAGACCTTTGTTTTGCAAAAGGAAAAAAATAATGTGTTTCGCGCAGAAGAAAATGTGTCTTAATGTCTTTTGTGATCAGAACATATGTAGCTTGTTCCATCTTTTTTCTGCTTCTGAGTATGTTTATTGTTCCTGTGACAGTGTATAGGTCTGAGGTGCGAGTCCCTCCAACGTGGAGAGTAAACTGTTATGAATGATGAGTGGAAAGTTGGCAACATGGTGTTTTATTGATGCATTTTACATTTCTGACATTTTTCATATTTCATCACTGTTTCTCTCTCATACATACACACAAGCACGCACAAGCACTTCTGATCCGAAGCGGCTACAGATCTCTAACACTGTCTCTGAACCCCTCTGGAAAGATGCTCCAGGATGCTGAGAGGAGATTCAGAGGGGTGATGTCCTGTGAGGAGATGGGCCAGGCAGGGTATCTTGAGCCTTATCAGGAGTCCATTGTTTCCATGACACAAAACTGCGTTCTTGTGAGCAACGTACGGTTGCAAACCTGTGTCTTCCTGAGTAAAGGCATGGCCACGTGCAGGCAGACTGTACGTAAGTCTGGACAAACGTCTTTTTCCTCTCTCTGTATTTATCAGCACTATATCTAACCCTGGATAGGATTTCTATCATTACCAAACAAGCTGCCAACTATCACCACTCGCTTGTTGGGAGACCCTTTCAATTACTTTCTATTATAATATTCTACTATTTCTACATCGGCTGCTATCTTGCCAGCTGTCAGAAGGAAACACACAGGTTTGGAAAATGACTTAGCCTGAAAGCTCAGCAACCAGATAGCTTAGCTTAGCACTGAGGCTGGAAACAGGCTAAAAGCTAACCTAGTTTTACGGGGTGTCACATGTTGGACTATTTCCTGTATAGGTGCCGTTAATACTTTGAGGTGGTCATATCTGACGTGTAAGAAACAAGATATGGCATGTTTTCATGGAGTTTTAGACTAATTTTGTTACCTTCAGACAGAGTTATGCTATCTGTTTCCCTTTGTCTCAACTCTTTGTGCTCAGATAATCTAACCGTCTGGTGGTTGTAGGTTAAAGTTTACTGCACAGACATGAGAATGGTATTGATAATCTTATTTAATTCTTAGCAACACAGCGAATATAGAACAACTTACTGTTCAATGTTACTCAGTTACAACCCCATCTGCACAGTCCTCCTTGTCTACAATATTACTGATCAATCAATGTGCAGTGATGGCAGGTGAATTGCATGAAAAGACTGAGCAGCCTTAATAATTTGTACTTTCAAGTGTCAATAACGACAGCGCAGTAATGGAGGTTAGATGAGTAAACTGATGAGGTCTGGGACATGTCAGTGTAAGAGATGATGGTTGATGAACTGACAGTGATGGATTGACAGATTGAAGCACTGATGGAGCGCACATGTTGGATGGGCTGGTTAAGCATCCTTGGGCTCATGTGCCTTCTGTGTTTTCTATGTCAGTGGTTCCGGTCAGACAGTTCTTTAGGCCTGACGTCAATGCTCAGTGTTGTGTTTAGACTTTTCACTGCTCCTGCTGTTAACCCCTGAGGGCTCTGGGATATGTCTTCCTCTCTCTCTGCCCTTTAAAGGTTGCGTTCATTGTAAGCGAGTGCTGGAAAAAAATAAAAACAGTCACATTCTTGTGTGAACTGGGTTATGGTTTCCAGTCATGTTTCATAGGGATCAGCCTATTTATACTTGGAGGTTTTGTCATCAAGATGTGAGATAGTTTCATTGTACTGGTAACACCTTTTACCGTTAGGCGTCCTTAACTTGTTGAGGTCCACAAGAAGGCTGAGGCTTGTTATGGAGAAGATCGTTGATTTAGGTCTGGGCATCACTCGAGTCACAGCATTGTCAGCGGTATGTTTGGATGTAGCTCATACACAGACAAGCAGTTTGTTATGATGTGTGATCATAACGGCTGCTTTTGGTTTTGCACTGACCGATGATTAATTGTCATTTCTTAATAGGACAGAGAGCTGCGTCCAGAGGAAATTGATGGTAAGTTTCTCTTTCTTTAATATTCCCTCTCTCTTTACTCACGTTAAGCAGTAAAAAAAAATGTAGCGTATTTTTAAAATGATTAAACAACGCAGGTTTGTCAAAATGCTTTACAGAACAAATGTATTGAAATGAAGGACATATTTCATCACATGCTGCCATAATTTGTATACTTATGTGCAAAGTAACGGCAAATGCTAAATGTATACCTGTTGTTGCTCTACAGAGTTGCGGGATGCTTTCAAAGAGTTTGACAAGGACAAGGATGGTTTCATCAGCTGTAAAGACCTTGGAAACTGTATGAGAACTATGGGATACATGCCCACTGAAATGGAGCTGATTGAACTGAGTCAACAGATAAACATGAACTGTAAGGACTTAACTTCTGTATTTAAATGTAATGCATATAGTTGTATCCTCTATGTGTATTGTGGTTTGACATCCTGTGCCAAAATCTCTCTTTCTTAAGTGGGAGGTCATGTTGATTTTGAGGATTTTGTAGAGTTGATGGGCCCCAAACTCCTCGCCGAAACTGCAGACATGATCGGAATAAAAGAGTTAAAGGACGCGTTTAAAGAGGTAAGAGTGTGTGGATTGGAATTTAGATAACTGCTTTCTGAAACTGTGGTCGTGTTTTGAGATTTTTACTATTTACTTTTTATAATTTATATTTTTTGTTTCTCTGCTTTTTATTCTCAGTTTGACACTAACGGAGATGGTGCCATAAGCACATCTGAGCTCCGAGATGCAATGAGGAAGTTATTGGGCCAGCAGGTAAGCGTTGGATCGGAGAGAGAAGACAGAGAGTCTCCGAACCATTTGTGAATGAATACCCTCTGTGTGTGGCGCTCCACTAACTGCTGCCAACCTTTTTTTTCCAGGTGGGTCTAAAGGAAGTAGAAGATATTCTGAGGGAGGTTGACCTGAATGGTGACGGGCTTGTTGACTTTGAAGGTAAATCCTCTTTATTACCTACTCAATTACGGTTCGCTGTAGAGTTCTTTGTCATTCTCTTCCTCTCTCTTCACAGAGTTTGTACGAATGATGTCTCGCTAAGATCTTGAAATGATTGGTCCTGAATGTGAAGCTGTGTCCTTCTCCATACTTGACCAAGAGCAACAGAGGACATGCTAAGATCTCTGAGCCATCCGATTCTGAATGACACTGGAATTAAAACTCCTTGAATGTTGTGGAGCAAGGAGTCACCTCACACTTTCAATCAGTGTCAAGTGTTCTTCCTGAAAAGTCTCCACTGAGTTCAACTGAGGCAGAATTTGCTGTAGCCTAGCTGACGATTGTCCAACTTGTGTTTTTGCACTTTAATTCTCACTAAATAACTTCCTGTGGCGATAGATCGCTGGTGTCTTGTCTCATCTTCTACGTGGTAAAAAAAAGAAGTCTTACAAAATGTTGCCTTCGATGTACAACAAAGTCAGGATGTTTAGAGGGAATGCCTGTAGAAAGGATGTAAAAGATCAGTGCACTGTTTAACATTTCAGTATGTTTTCACACAGTATGTGTTGTATTACAAATTGTAAGTGGATTGTCATTGGTGTGACATTGGTGCTCCAACCAGGAACCCATGTGGCAATATAACACCTGCATTGTAACTGTGTGACCATCTGTGGTTTTTCACTGTGCCATTCGAGTCCTATAAAAGCATCACTGTCTGACAACTACATGCAACGAAGAGGCAGATCTTTGATATTAAACTCTGAAATACATTTCATATATGTTATTCGCTATAGATCAAGGGCAGTGTTAATTGCAGCTCTGGTTTGCAGCATCCTATGTTTTTCAGTGCTCACATGTTTAATGTAGCTTTGGGAACAAGTAATGTCTGTTTTTAAAAATCCGTACCGCCCTGTCTGAGACCATACAGTAGGAATGACATATTTTAACTGTACTTACAGTGGATGTGATTATGTTGTACCTGTACTGTATGTCAGTGTCAATATGATTGTAGTTGTGGTAACTTTCCACACATCTGTGTTGTCGAAGCAATTTCCATGCATGCCAAAGACAAAAATTTATTAAAATTCAGTATGCAGATTTGCATTTTTGTCTAACAAAGTAAATAAAATATTTCAACAAGTTAACTGTAGAAAAATAAAAGGTGTTTACATTTGAGCCCATTTTTCTGTGGTGATGTTGCTAAAGAAAACACAGGCGCAAAATAGTAGAAAATGGTTTTCAGTTTGTTATTCAGACATGAAATGATCCTTACTCAAAAACATGTTACAGCTTGTTTTAGTATGGACCTAAAATATCATGCTGTACTTCTTAATCTGTACTGTTTATATATATATATATAAGGCCTATATTAAAGTGTCCTTCTCAGTATATTAGTATAGCATTGTGTGCTGTCCCTGCATGTCTTGAGTTCAAACCTCCTTATGATATCTATTATTCATACACCTCTGGCTGGATAAGCTTTACCTGCAGAACCATCATTGTGCAAGTCATCACATGAAAATAACTGAAAATAACTGTGCTGTGTCCCTGCGTGGTCTTGGACTAATTTTGCTCTAATTATTTATACTACAAACATATTTATTAGTTACACATATTACTAAAGAAACATCACACCATGCATACAAGGTAGGCTATGATAAAGAGAGACCTTGCTGTATTTGGGAGGCAGTGACAGACATTATTTACATTATTTTTCTTAGTGGCAACTGCAGTGATTTAATTTCACTGCTTTCTCCTGCTAAAACTATTTGGCAAAACATGAAAACCATGGTAAAGTAAAGCAGTTAAAACGATATAACACTAAAAGTATCAGTGCAATAATTAGTGCTTCATGTGGAGAGAATTGAGGAGCTTTTCAGGCACAGCAACACCCACGATAAAACTGCTCGATAACATGCTGCCTCTGAAGAAACATTGGTGGAAACAGCATCAACAGATATTTGCCCTTATGCTTGTGCAAAGTACTTTGTGGAAAAAAATTGGCCTTTGAAGGAGTTTGCTTTAAATGTATTGCAAATATTGATAAAATATATAGCACCAGCTGTAACAAACAGTTTAACTATACAGGGTTGTGTATGCTCCCTGTTAAGGATAGATGGTATTCCAAGGTATGTTTACCTACGCTGTGTCAAGTTAAAAACAAATCTAATGAAACACCTGTCATCCATATTTGCTGTTGCCATAGCAATATTTATTAATTCCTATCCGGGCAACTGACGAGTGCACCGTGTGCGCGCTGCGTTGGACTCTTGTGATTGGACACGAATCGGGCCATCCCATACCGGAAAGAGGGGGCGTGGATATTTCTTAAAGAGCACGTGTAATATTGTTATATTTCAAAAGATATATGATTTTGAGTCTCTTTGAATATGTTGTAGGGAATATAAGATATCTTACATTTCTTACAATTCTATCTTCTGTTCTATGTGATTGTGCTATGATATGAAATGGTGTAAAAACCTGAACAGGAGCATGTGATTGGACAGAGTATGTGTCAGTCATTGGCCATATGGGAAGTCCAACGTTAGGTAGCCCCGCCTCCTGCACACTGGCAGCCGCTGTAGCTAGCAGCAGAGCTAACGTTAGTTCGGATGCTCACATTGAATGAATGTCGGTGTAACGTTAGCAGGCTGTTGCCACCAGCAACTGGGAATATCTCCTCACCGTCAAGTTATCTTATATAGGCACTTGGTGAGACTGTATTAGCATCGACCATTTTACACGTTGGTCGAAAGACGGGTTCAGGGACATTTGTGGAAGGGGAAGGTAAGAGACATTTGTATGGACGTTAGCTCTCGTAGACCAAGTATTTCTGGTTAGACAGGTAGGTTTGCTAGCTAGCCTAACCGACGTTACTCGCTGCTAATTTATATATTTATTTCTAGTTTTCCTAAGTTAATTAACACATACGCTGTAAGTTGTGTTATGGTTAAACTGTGATACTTGTTTAAATTCCACTGTTACTTCCTGTGTCTCTGTGCTCGTGCAACTGCATGCTGGCTAACTTAGATATCATGTTGCATGTCCTCAAGACAAGCTGGCTAGCTCCTTGTGCTAGCTAACCTTAAGTGGTAAAATGAAGGGTTACTTCCGTACAGCAACTGAGTAGTTATATGCTGCAAGCAAGCAGATACCGACGCTGTCTTGTCTCTTGTGTCTAGGACCATTGCCTGTGTGTGGCAATGCAGCGGGTCACGGCGCAGCTCGTCGCCGGGCTGGTTGCAGCGGTGCTGTCGCTGCTGGCAGATCAGTGCTGGGCGGACGGCGGGGGCCTCAGCCTAGCAGAACGGGTCATCTGGGCTGTCAACTGCGGGGGTGAATCGCATGTAGACGTGCACGGTATTCACTTCAAAAAGGACCCGTTGGAAGGAAAACTTGGCAAAGGTGAGTCGATGTTAACTGTAGTTTTACTGCTGATATGTATCTGCGTGTCTAGCTGGGCTTCACCTGTAAGGTGTTGCAGAGTGGGACATTGTGAAGGTAAAAATCTGTTCCTTAGAATCATGTACATTTCTCTGCTTGGTCGGCTTCCGCCAGTAACCACAAGCAAATGAGGAGTCTGCATATAGAGTTACAGCTCCGCCTCTTTCAGTGTATAGAGGAAGCAGGTGATGATATGATCAAATTGACTGTGGGTCATTCTTGGCCCGATTACCAGACACAGATACTGTAATTACAAATGGTGAACACATTCTGGTAACTTGCCATTTGCGACAGAAGGCCACTGTATTTCATTGAGTGCAGGAAAAGGTCAGGGCTTTTTTAATTTTTAATTTTTTTTAATTTGTGCAATGTGTTGTTTTGCTTGACTTAAAACATGATCATTTCTCCAGTAATGTAGCTTTTAATGTTTTCTGTGCACTGACTGAAGCTGACGCTATTCTCCTTTTGTAGCATCTGATTATGGCGTTCGTCTGCCAATACTGCGCTCCAGTCAAGAGGACCAGATTCTGTATCAGACGGAGCGCTACAATGAGGACACTTTTGGATATGATATCCCTATACGCGAGGAAGGAGACTATATACTAGTTATGAAGTATGCAGAAGTTTACTTCGCCCAGTCACAGCAAAAGGTATGAATAATAAATCAGAGACATTCCAGTGTGAATGTGTATTTAATAAAGTTGTTATATTTGTCTGCACAGTTTGAATGGACAATGCATTGCATTGAGCAAGGCATGTCATTTTTTCCTGTTTTCAAATATACATTTCACTGCACAATTGTGTTCAGACAGTACTCTGGGAGCTGTTTGAATACCCATCAGTGTACTCTACTGTGTGCAACATGAATGTTAAGCTGTGTGTGTGGATTAGCTGTTAATCATTGCTTGATTTGGAATTTATTTTTCTAGGTGTTTGACGTCCGTCTAAGCGGCCATGTGGTGGTGAAGGACCTAGATATCTTTGAGCGAGTTGGTCACAGTACCGCTCATGATGAGATAGTGCCCTTTTCTATTCGACGTGGCAAGCTGAGTGTGCAAGGAGAGGTGTCCACTTTCAACGGCAAGCTCACTGTGGAGTTTGTAAAGGTGAGTTGTTAATCCATGTCACGTTACGACTGTCACGTTACGGATTGTTTCTTTCAAAGAAAAAGCTATTCAAGTGTTTCCAAGAGTTTTGATAATAATTACAATATTTTTATGTAAGTCAACCCAACGTGTATAAAAGTGCTGTCCGAGCAACTCTATTGTTTAATCATTTATTTTCTATATTAAATAGTTTATTTTCTTAAGATGACAATGGGCAGCTGTGTGCGATGGACAGGCGTTTTGAGAATAACTATTACACAAGTAATGTTACTTTATATTGAAATTACTTAAATAATAGGTAGTGCTGTCATAAAAATAACTACTTCAGCAACAGTAAGAATTATCTAGTGACAACATTTAAAGCAATAGTTTGAGAAATACAATTATTCTCTTTCTTGCTGAAAATTAGATGAAAAGGTGGACACCACTTTCTTGTCTGTTTAATATGAAGCTACCTAATGTAAGAGTAGTTCCCAAAATGTTGAACTTCATTAATTTCAAACTTGAGCCGTGTGCTAAATTACCATCATAACTTGTATGGCAAAGTGATTCTTCTTCAAACACGAGACCGAATGTTGAAATCGACGGCACATTTGCATAATGAACTCCATGTCTGAAAGGCTTTAGACAGTCAGTTGGCGTGTGTGGGGGGCCATGCAAATGACTGGCAACGTTCGCACATCTGGTTGTCCTTTTATCGTTTTTGTTTACTTGTAGTGTAGCAATTAACTTTACTCTTTTAGTTCACACCAGAGTAATACTGTCTGTGAATCTGCTTTCATATTTTCCACTATTTATTGACCCCTTCTTCAGGTAAGTGGTCGCTCACCTTTTTCCCCATTTCTCATAAATACAATTGCTGTTTACTGTGATTTAGGAGAGGACATTACGATGTCCAAAAGTCTGTAGCCTGGCTCTAAATAAGCTATGAGGCCCATTAATCTATCACCCTAAGCACATAAAAAAGGGCCTCTTAACTATTTCTGCCACTGTAATGAGGTTGGTAATTATGTCACTCTTGTACTTGTCACATTTTACTCTCTGGTAATTCATCCAGCTACTCCTGCTGTGGGCTTGCAGAAGCAATTGTGTTGGTGAAGTGTCTCCCCCTCATATTATCCAACATCAACGCTCTACTTTTGAGACACTTCCTAAAACCTGATCTATGTAACATTTCCCTTTTTGTACTCCATGCAATCAATACAGCACCATGTGACACTGCACTTCTGTTCCTATTGGCCTACGTTTGTCAGAGAGCCGAGAGGAGAGGCATTGTAGAGGGTGGATGACTTGTGTGTCTGCAAACGTTTAATTTCTCCTCCTGCACAAATGCCTAATATTAAAATGTGTGATTAAGTGTGCGTTTGCATCTGTGTTTTTAAATTTGAGAACTTGCTGCAGGCCATACAAATAATATGTGTAAATAATATGTATTCCCTTTGAGGATCTGGTCAAATTTAAGATTTTTCCTGTGGGGTTTTAGAACATCTGGCTGTAGGCTAAATTTGGAAGGTGGCATATTTAAAAAAAGCTTTTTATCTAGTGACCTTGTTCTTCTTTTTATTGTTGGTAGATCACTTGCCCTCTCTGCAGTTTCTTTCTTTAAAAAGATACAAGTGGGACACACTTCCTGCAATAAATGTAAAACTGTTCTGACAAAATCTCACGAGCACAGATGTTTCTGTTTTGGACTGTCCACTTGTTCCACCTGATGATGATTCTTTCCTTCCACTGTGATAGATAATGTATCACCTTATTTAGATAAGAGTGCTAGACCCATTCATTATGTTTCTTGTAAGAAGAAAAACACGATTTAACATCACTCCTGTATGTTATTAAATCACCTTTCTTACATTTGACACTCTTGTTTTTCAGGGTTATTATGACAACCCCAAGGTCTGCGCTCTCTATGTAATGAAGGGGACATTAGAAGGTGAGTCCAGAGACCGCAAACACACCATTGTGTTGCTCAAACACATGTACTTATTTTAGTAAAGTAGTAACAGCTAGAGCTTAAGCTGAAGGACGTCCCAAAAAAAAAGTACTTGGAAGAATGAAACTTTATTTTGGGGCAAGAATTGGAGGAAGAAAAAAAAACCGCTACGTTACAATGAACAGCGATATAAATGACTGCACGTTTTGTGTAGCACACAGTTCTTATTAAATCTCTTTGAGAAAGTAAATACGCACACACACACAGCATATATCAGCGGCATCTGACCTTACAACAGCCACAAAAGGAAATTCAACCCAAATCACTGAGGTAAGATTGGTATTAATGTTACCAGTTAGAGAACATTGGACTGTTTTTTTGTAATGGAATGGTAAATGCGTACGATGACATTCATTCATTCATTTCGGGGCGGCTTAGGTTGAGCTTCAGGATGTTTACAGGAGGATGGAGAAAAGGAGTTTGTAGACTTGGTTGTAGCAGTGTTATAACAAAGTGCTTTGATAAATCCATTTGTGAACCAATTTCATTGCATATGATTTGGACAAACTTCCATTGCACTTTTTTACTGGACAGATGTGCCAAAACTTCAGCCTCACCCTGGCTTGGAGAAGCACGAGGAAGAGGAGGAAGAAGAGGAGGATAGTGAGCCCGGCGAGGAAGGTGGGAAGAAAAAGGTCCCACCAGGTTCCAAGACCAGGGTCCAGTCAGGGCCCCGAACACCAAACCCATACGCAGCAGACAACAGCAGCCTCATGTTTCCCATCCTTGTGGCGTTCGGGGTGTTCATCCCTACACTGTTCTGCCTCTGTCGGCTGTGAGCTACAACTAGCGATCGAGGGGACGTCGAGCAGACGAGACGGAGTGAGACTATGGAGAGGGAGAAGGGGGTGGTGGGGGGTGTGGGGGGGGAGGTATACAGGTAAAGGCATACACACAGGAGGGAGCGTGGAGAAAATCTTGACAACGGAGGGGGGAAAAAGAGACAATAACTTTTCAGAAAGCCACTTTGCGACGAAGCAAATGCTGCTGTTTAGCAAAGAACAGGAGATGTAGGAAGTGTATGCTGTGCGCTTCTTTGTGAATGTGTTTCGCGTCCACCTCTGCTGACAGTTTTGAACTATGTTAGTCATTTCCACTCAGAGACAGTGCAGGATTTACAGATGCCAGTCTTCACGGTTTGAAACCACATTTCAGCAACTCTGGGGTGCTCAGGAGTGATTGTTCTGGGCCTGTTTTATAAACTAAAAGCATTGTTTTCTACTGGGTGTGGCAAGGAAGCACACTCTGTTTAACACTCCTGCTCCGCATCTGGTCAGACGTGGTCCCTAAAATTGGAAATGGTGCTGCTTAGAAATTGGTTGAGTAGTTAGTGGATATACAGCTGCCATTTGAGAGGCTCCCATTTTTCTCAACTTGCATTTTTATATCTTTCCACTCGGATGTAGTTAGTCCTTTGTTGACGTGCCATCGTCTTCTTGCCATACGTTGTTGAAAGAAAAAATAACTTGTCGTCGAAACCAGCTCTGTAGCTGGCGGGATTGTTTGCTGTTTAAGTCGGCTTGCCTTTTTATATAAGTTGTTTTTCCCAAATCTGTTGATGCTGTGTGGTAGCGCATGATGGACTTATTTGGCATTGTTTCATCAAACACTGATTCAAGGCCATTAAACGCGTCTTCAACAGTGATCACAAAATCTTTTGTACTTTTACTTTTTTTTTTTTTTTTTTTTTAAAGAAATGATCCATTTTAAAGTTCAAACATTACAAAGTGAGAATGTGGAACAGAGACACCAGAGTCTAACCTTATGCTGTGAAGTGCTGAAGCTAAAGTGAGTCAGGATCTTTACATGAGCTTTGCCATCTCTATTCAGTTATTAAGTATGCATGCCTGCCTCTTTGTTTAACCAAAGAATGTCTTTTTTTTAAATTTGTTGGAAAAAGAAAACTTGGTGGCTTGTTTTAATTTGACAAACGGCTTGAGGCCTCTGTGGCAAGTGGTTGAAATTGGCGATATGTGGACATACAGTACTCCTCTTACCCAAATCTGATTCAGAGGAATAGAGCGTTGGGCATGTTTTATATCGGCAGCTAACTGGGTGGACGGTTGTCATTTTTCTTTCTTCATAAATTAGTGTTTTTGATTTCACACGGTATGCTGTGTTGACTCTGATGGGCGTCAGTCCTGGGAGAGAACAGGTCGCTGCAGCTCCATGTTGATGTAATGAACCCTAAAGAGTCTGTGCCGGTCAATGCACTCGTTTCAAACATCCCTAAAGTTGCTCTGTGCGGCACCACAAGTTCATCCACCTGCAGTCAGAGATGCGAAAGCACAACATCGGTGTAAGTAGAGAATCAAATGTTTACTCGAAGTTATAAACCAACAATTATCGCATTTTCCAAAATCTTCACTCAGCCTTTTCAAATCTGTTGTCTTAAAACTTTTTAATGTGGACTGTACCATTTTGTTAATTAAGTGTGAACTTTTCAGTGCAATTACGCTACTTGTTCTGGTCCTTTTGAATTGATTGAGCAAACTGGGGACACATCCATTTTTTTTTTATTTTTTTTTTTCTCTATTTCAATCTAAAATGTAAGCCTTTTTTCCTACATGGCCACATTATCAGACTCTTCTTCTACTGTGTTTTTAGTCTCAGCTTTTGGACAATGAGATCCCTTTTTGCTTTCCATGCGTTCTGAAAAGCCGCTTCGTTCCTCAGTTTTAATGAAGTTGAGTTGTGAACCCTCCTCTTTATGTATCTAGTTACATCCCTTACGTGCGTAGCTCGACTCCAAGGATGATTTAGTAACTTTACCTGTTTCATTAATGCTAATGTCTCCCAACAACCCTTTGCCAGTAGTGCTGTTGCTATATGCAGTGCTTTGAAAGCGGTTGATAATTCAGTTGTGGATCCTTCCTCACTCCTCGAGTCTCCTTCCCATTTTGATTGGCCAGAAAACATTTGGTCAATTGTTGGTGTTTTGAGTTGCTTTCTCCTTGATTTTTATTTTGAAGATGTAAACTCAACTCGTATTTAAGACATACAAGCACTTTTGTTTTTCTTCTGAAAAGATGCAACATTTTCATTTAATTCAGCACCAAAGTCACCGTGTTCTGTTCCTCTGCCAGTCTACACAGTGTCGTGTGTGTGTGTGTGTATATAAGGTACTAAATCACACTTTTATCGTGTGACGACTGTTTTGTTCTCCTCTCTATTGTGCCGTAGCTGAGCTGTTCGGGTTTCTTTGATTATCTGATGACAACTTTGTGGCCTTTCTTCTGGGGGAGGAACGGTTGCCGGTACAGAGTTTAACTTTTTTTTTTTTTTTTTTTTTTTAAGGTGCAGTCTGTTAAACTGACTGTCAGAAAGTCAAATAAATGAGATTATGTCTGAAAATATGGGTTCTTCCAATCTATTATATATAATTTAAATCAGAGTGGGGCTGATCTGGAGATATTTTATAATGCGCTTGGATTTGTATGTTTGAATTTTTTTCCTCAGGATCTATTTTGTTTTGAGTTTTTAAAACTTGATATTTTATTGGTGTGACATTTTGCACTGCCTCATGTATTTTAAGATCATGTCATTTTTGTGTGTTTGTCTTTGTTGCCTTGAATTATTGAATACATTGTGCTTTACTATCATTCACCTTGAGGTTGCTCTTTTGTTGGCTTGTATCAAATTCGCCTCTTTTCTTCTTCTTGTCAAAACACACTTTTCTGGGCTAGATCTTCATTCCACAGAAACAAGTCTTGGTTGGAGTAAAGGGCATCTGTCAGAAGTATATCTTGAAACTCAACTTTTTTGGGAGCAAAGCCAGTCAAAAACAAAAGATACAGTTAATAGACAGTAGGAGAATTGTGTGAAATATCCAGCACTTGTTTGTCTATTTAGCTCCTCACTAGCCTGTGTTGGACCTGTTACTGTCAATACATCTCATAACTTAATGAACTAGAGTGGAATGAAGATCTGCTCTGTTTTTGTTTTGTTTTTCACACAAGAACCAAAGAATTGCCGCCATTCCATCATAATTCTTTAACAGAGTCACCTGACGTGACGCTGAAGGTTCTTCTTTTCTTCTTTTTTCTCTCGTCTGGTAAAGCAGTGTTGTCATCAGATTTGTTGTCCCCATTAATTATTCCCTGCCATGACACCCAATTGTCTTGAAATGTCCATCCTAAAAAAGTAATGTTAATTAATCTGTGATAATTGTAAATTTCTTTGAGTTGACCATCTCTAGCTTGTTGCCATTTCTCCTCATTTTTAAAGCAACTGAACATGAGGTGAATTTAAACTGAGACAAATTTGAACAGCAAAACATCTGCCCACGTGTCCACCGTCCAGGCAGCCGACCCCACAAACACAAACATCGAGGTCTGAAAGCCATTGATCACACAGTGCGAGTGTGTGAGACAGTGAGTGTGTGCTTAAATATGAGTCCTACTGTATACATATACATGTGTTTGATATGAGTGCTCTTCTGGGGGCTGTAAGCAGCAGCAGGTGGGCTGAGAAATGTATTCGAGACCCCTGATCTTACTCTGATGTGGCATATATCTGAAATGGGAAAGGCTGATAAATGCTGTCTCTTTTTAATAAATGTGCTATTTTATCAGAATGTGGTGCTGCTGTTTTTCCACTCAGACACCCCTGAGGTCCCGTTGAGTACTTTGTGAGGTGGCATGTGACTCCACAGCATCCAAAGTCTGGATGAGCATTTTGGAACTGTGCGACTTAAAAACTATCGTCTAATATTTCCTGTAGTCACAGCAAAGTTCAGCAGGCGCACAGCACATGTGCGAGCCCCTTGTTTATCCAGGTGTGTTTTTTTCCACCGTTTCCCACAAACTGAATACCTCTTTAAATAGAAGCACATATCTAAAAGGTATTGGGACCAGAATATCCAAAAGAGGAACACAGCTAAACAAAGACTGAATTATGTCCATGAACAGAAATGGCCTCACACTTGATACACGAGGCATTGTTAGATCAAGCTTTAATAACCAAAGAACTCCATAAAGTTACAGTATATCATATTGACTATTAACATATGTGTATATATATTTATATTTTACAAAAAATTACATTTATAAATTAATAGCTTTGACATTGAAGTGCAGGATTTCCTTGTAAGCTTTGAGGCTATATGTCTTTTCAGCTGGAAAATGGATTCACCAGATGAAATGTTTACATGCAGAACACAGTCCAGTCCCAGTTTGACTTCACCGGTAGTACAGAGCCATGAAGGGTGTGTGTGAGAGGTGAACACCGCCAGTTCCACAGGATACCCCCGAAGCAGCCCGACTGCAGCCCAGGACCAGGCCCAGCTCCAGAGCAGGCAGCGTGCTGGCAACCCCATCCCCCCACACATCCGTATCGGTGTCATGCAGAGCCCCAGAAGCTGGCTTTTCTCCTGGTGGATACCTCCTGGAAGAAAACGCCACCTCCCGCATTTTCGCCAAGCTGTGAGCCCCTCCTGCACCACCTGTCGCCTGTTTCAGATTCTGGAAAAGGAACAGCAGATCTACTCTCAGCTCCACCGTGTTGCTCTGTGACCACAAACTGTACCTAAAGGAGGCGAGAGACAACGGGGTTACAACCAGGCCTGACACTGCTTGGTGACTTTACAGGCTTTTAGACTGAAATGAGGAATTTGTGTAAAACAGAAAATTAGTAAAAGTAAAGATCATAGTGAGTGTAGATTGTTGTTTTTTTTTTACCGTGTAGGTAGGTCTCGCTTTGCCATAGATGAAAGCACAGGATAGATATCCAGATGTTGTGGGTTGGCAAGTTGGAGGTGGAGCTCGGCTCTCATAATAGTCAATGACAAAATGTCCCTGGTGAGGAGAAACTCCACATCTGTGCCTGAGGAGGAAAAGAGGCAGTCAGGAGTCTGTCAGAGGCACAGTGCAGTTTAAGATGGAGCTTTTCATGTCAGACACACTCATGCCAGGCTGTAGTTTAATAAACCTCATGATCAGAGTAGGATCTCTGCCACAGAGATGTTTCACTCCTAATACCTTGTTAATCTGTCAGCAGGATATCAACACTTCTCAGAGGGGATATTAAGACTCATTTGTATGCAGAGATCATGGTCCTCTATAAAGCTGCATTCATTCATCAAGTCATTAATATCCTCCAAGCTGCTTTTCAAGCACATTAGCTTTTACTTCTACAGCTTATGACATTCTTGCACTCTTTCAACATAATGTGTTTGATGCTGCGTCTTTCTCTCTGCTGAGTGATGCAGCCTACTCATTCATCCCCATCCTAAATCAGTTAATTTGACGATGAATTGAAATACTTTTAATGAGCACGCTGCTCTTTTTTATATTACATTATATATTCCATACAATCTTTATGCTGTAGAAATCTCCAAATCTAATGAGCATGTTTCATGGTGAAGAAATAACCTAAATGTAAGTAATGACGATGTGTTTTGAAGCAGTTGAATTTTCCATCACTGCACAGCCATTTAGTGGAGTTAACACATGGAAATTTAATCCAATCTTCATTTTGGGGGGGTTGAGCTCTGCAACACATCAAGGGCCACTGTGCCGTCTCTTGGTCCTGGTAGACATGATGCTTTACTAACACAACAACGTTCGACATTAGACCATAAGAAAATAAAGTTCATTATTACATAGCATGTGTTTCAGTTGGATCTACTGCGTCTTACCTCTTCTCAGTCGGCCTTGAATTCCTCTTACGCTTCTGCAGTTTACTCCTTCTTGACAGCAGTGATAAACCCGTCGGACAAAGCTAAAGAGAGATTTTCCTGGGAAAACCGGGTGCCGGGAGGCTCTCGGGGAAAAGGGCTGAACACGGAGCTGCAAAAGCGTTGCATTATCCTCGGGAGCTTGCGTGTTTTCCTGCCAAGGCGCAACCAGCTCTGCGCACCGCTCCAGGTGCGTCTCCGCGATCCCGCGCCTCAACGAGTCCATGCGTAAAGTTGGTCCGGAGGATTCATCTGCAGTTTTTTGGGACTGTGACAGAAATCCCAGCTTGTCTAATGCGCGACCAAATACTCCAATGTCCCTTGTCATCACTGAAAAAACAAATATAGCAATCCGTATGCAGTGCGAGGAGGCCATGGTGCTATATCTCTAAATCCTGGCCTTTAGATCGTCACTGATGGATAACAGGCAGCTTCTCTGTTGTGCCAACTCTCTCTCTCTGCCTGCTATATATCGCACTGACAATGGGGACATCTTACCACTTAGAATTTGAATCCCGACCCTCCTCACAGACCCTGCCCCTTTTATTGTTCGAGCCCTTAACCACCCATTTACCCCCCACTGCTTTCTTTTAATGCGCCTGCATAATGAGGCGCCCCGAAGAGCGCCGACCCCAACCATTCAAATTCATCGACTTAGCTAATGACTCCAATGACTCCATATCTGGAACATCAAGAAGCATCTTATTTACAACACGTATAGCTCAGAAAGATTCGGACAGAACAGGAGTAATAGCATTTTATGAGCATGTGTTTGGCTTTTCAAATTGCTTTGCGCACGTCCCTCTTCGGACCAGTTGTAACCATATGAAACGAGGCATTAAGCCTGAAGTGAAAAACAATGGCTCCCGATTGGAGGGACACATGCAGGTCGCTGATGGCCCTAATAAGGCCGTGTTGCCCCTGTGGTTTTAAACAAGCATTGACAAAAGTAGCTCACAAGACTCAGCACTGAGAGGATCATGTATTCATTTAATACCCACTACAGCATATCACAGTGGACCTTTTCTTTGCAAACATTACAATACTAACATTTTTAACAAATAACACTTTTGATGAAAAAACAACAATAAATCTAATAGTCGAGTAGTTAAATAAGACTTGTTATGCCACCAAAGAGTTGATTTCAAATAAATAATGTCTATAAAAAGTTTTAGATCATTTTATAAATTTGTATAATAAACCAATACAGTGTTGCAGCGGGTCAAAGTAGGATCATGTACAAATGCAGTTAAATAGTGTCAAGATTTAACCTGGCTTTAGTAAAAAAATTCTAATTAAATGAATAAACAAGTAAGATGATTTTTTATATTTGCTTCAGTGATGATGAAAGGAAAATACCTGCAAAGTGAAAAGGTTGCAAAATGTGTGCAGTGTGTTAACAGGAGCTTAAATATGGCAAAAGGGTGCTTCTAGATACAAGAGGTAATGTGTTTGAGCACATCAGAAAAAACCATGCACAAAAAATAACTTAAAACTGTGACGGAAACCTCATTGTTAACAAAACTTACCCTACATAACTTTAACCAACCATCCTCTCTGACATTCATAATACAAATTTAGAAAATGCAAAGTTCTGCTATTAATGGGAGTGCCATAAGGTTTTATAGCACAGCAGATGATATCATACAATCTGCTGTGGGGGAAAGTAAACCACAGCAGCAACAAAACACTTTAAATCATATTCTCAGCTTTTCTCCGTTGATTTTAAGGTTACTCACAAGGCAGCTTTTCATATCTTAAGTAAACACAGCAGACGTCCCGACGCTGTCCCGTCAGAGCAGGTTAACCCCGTGTTTCAGCAGTCTGTGTCGTGCCTTGCCGGGAAGCGAGAAAGCACTGTCCTGGTGGTTAGGGATGCCAGAGTTCCTTAGCGATCCCCCATGCTGCTGGAAGTAAGTTTCCTGGGCCACGCTGCGGGTTCCATACACTGCAGCTCCAGCACTCCTGCGGTGAAAATGTCACATTTACAATTCAAGATTGTAGGATGAAGACATGTTATGTAAAAGAGCAAAGTGACATAAAAATGACAAAACATCAGAACTTTCTCTTCCAGTAAATGTGAGTTGTTGGAGTGTGATTTAGAGGAAGAACATTTAGGGATTGGTGGGATGTGACGATAGACGAGATGAATTGACAGATCCAACCCCCACCCCCGACTTCTATGCGAGGAGCCATGAAAGGCATGAGAACTAACCCCCACCCACCCAACAACCACCATCATCAAGTCACTCCCGTACTGACCTGATAATAGCCTCCTGCAGAGTTTCAGTGTTACAGAAATGTGAGTGAAGAAGTGATGTGGCTCTCACAAAAGGACGCTGTGGGGCTCCCCCTGGTCGACCAGACAGGTTGGCTGCAGTGACACACAATAACAAGAGACTCAGTACCCACAGTGGCACATTAACCTGGACATGCATGCCTGCTGCACAAAGGAATGCTGATCACAGTCGTACTAATTAGCCGTCAGCTCATGCAAAGACAAATATAAACTACCAACACGCCCCCCAGTCCCCAGGTACAGGCGGCGGGGCAGAAGATACTCACTCTAGAGGAAAAGTGAAAAGCGGGAAACTGGGAAAGACAGAATTTTCAGGAAATATTAGAAATGCAACAAAGATGCAAAGCGAGTTAAGAACACAAGAGAGACTAAGAGAGGAGATAGTTTGAAGTGTTATGGGAGCCTCACTTGTCAGCGTGCTCTGAATGCAGTCAAAGTGGGCAAAGATGTAGGGTCCTGGAGTGCCCGGGGCCCCTGGAGAGATGGTCCTCAGATGGGCCTCCAGTCCATTGAGTGACGCCAGGCTGCTGTGATACTGGATACAAACCATAGAGGAAGAGTCATACGTTAGCATCACCAAGACAAATGTAGTGCACTCATGTACAGCTGGTGGATTACTTAGGTAGGCATTGCGATGTGCATCAGCTGTGTCATTAAGCTACTTTTTTTTCAAAAACTTTCAATATCCTAATGTGACAAAAAATGAGAGAAATTATTATTACGGTTCCCGTTGTTTCTCACCACTTCCTCCATAGAATCTGTGTCACTCAAGAAGTGAGGCTCCACCAGCAGAGCCAGCACCAAGCCTTTCACCCGGTGCAGGTACAGCGTCATGGGAATCAGCGGACACTCCTCTTGGCTGTCAAAAGCACCAGAGCGAGGAAGATCTGGTATCTCTGGCTCGTGGCCCTGAACATTCCCACAGCCACTGACCTCTTCCAAAACGTTATGGGAGTTTTCTCCACACAATGAGCCGTCTCCTTCATTATGCATCGGACCGACTCCATCTCCGCTGCTGTGAAAGCTGTGATAATATGACTCTTCTTGCACTTCCTCCTCAGCTATAGGGGAGTGTTTTCCATTTGAGAAAGGGGACTCTAGCTGCTGCGGTGGGGGGTCGGCGGAGCTCTGCGATGGATCTGGGCTAAACATGGCGCTGTCTGACAAGTGAGGAGTGAGGGACACCTTCTGGGGAGACTGGGAGGAACCTGTATCAGACGGCTCTGACTCAGTGGAGGGAGTGTCGGATAACGTTCTTGACAGGCGGGTCTTTCTCGGGGGGGTGTTTTTGTGTGGAGTAGAATGGGAGCTGAAGGATAGAAAACAGTTTCAGGCACTCCGAATTATCTGGGAAATGCTACACAAACAGAAGAGAAACTCAGCGAGGGAAGACGCTACCTGAAATGTTTGTCGACGGGGGCGGATTGCAGATACTGAAGTTCAGACATGGTCAGGAACACAGAGGTGGAGCTGACAGCACCGCCAAATGAGCTGACGGTACTCGGCCCATTGGACCTCTGGGCCTGCATCAAAATTAAAACACTGGCTTGAGACTTTTTACTATGAAAGGAATAGTTCAACACTTTGTAGATGCTAATTGGCTTTCTTGTCAAGAGTTGGATAGCCAATACCACTCTAAGACAAATGTCAAACTTTTTTTTTTTAGTAGTCTTGCAATGTCTCTTTTTTTAAATGTCCAAATTACCTGTTATTGGCCAGTTCTCAGCTAAACGCAATGTTTTTTAATTATATTATTAAGTTAAATTAAAGAGTGCAAACGATTTTGAAAAATTCTAAATTACTAGGCTAGTGATTAGTTTACTCTTCCAAATGTTTTAAACAGAACTGTTTGGGGGCCCTTGGTGAGAAAAGCTTAATTGAGCACGTCGTCCTGCCATCGCATCTTACCTTGGTGTATGTTTCACTCTCATGAACCATCACCTTCATTGTGAGCTCTGGAGACATCTGCGTGCTTACAACTCTGTGTGAGAAAAGACAGAAAAGTGAGATTTCCAAGCCGGTTATTTACAAAAGCTATCCCACAGATGTCCAGTCAAAATGTCAGCTCACCTTCCTCTGAAAAGAATACAGCCTGCTGACACTAGAGGGCAGCGCTGACAGGCCTGGAGAATGAGGGCAGCTTTGAGCAGGAGAAGTGGGTCAATCTGGGGACAGGAATTCAAAATGTTACCTTTCAGTTCATGTACAAGCACAGACACTGAAAGGTGATAAATATACAATTTATAGGTTAATAACTTCATCTGTTCAGCTGTTACACCAAGAGACACTAATGCAAAGACAAAGGCCAATGTTGTAAGATACATTTTTATTATGCTACGTCATCTATTGTATAATGTGACAGAATTGGCATGTCTCAGTGTATTATGCAAAATCTAGAGAACTGTACCACAGTGGGATTTTACAAAATAGGCTTTACAAAGAACCCATTTGGTTGGCAGTTTGTGCCTGTCTAAATCTATTCTCTAGGTGCAATGACTATGCAGAAAGTTTGCCAAAACATACTGAACACTTACACAATACTACAAGACATTGTGACATAGTCATATCCTGTCTGAGAACATCTCAGTGTGCAGCAGCAGCAGCATTAGAAAAGCAATTGTGGAACTGTGACACCATTTCGTACGTACATTAGTTGAGTCAATTGTTCTCAAGCAGCTGAAGATGTGATGAAGCTCTGACGATCCTGACTCCAGGTGTGAGAGGTACTGCGCCCATCGACTAGCCAGAGTTTCCTGACTGTTAAGCTAAAGTGCAAAACAAAGTTTAAATTACAGCAGGCATCTTTTAAAATACACAATTCTGAAAGAATTACCCTAAATACAAAGAAAACAAGCACAATAACCTGCTGGTTTGAAACAGAATTATTGCCTAGATTCTGTTTATTATGGGACTTTTACTCAAATTCTTTGTAGATTGCTCTATTACGTTGGTCTACAACTTGATGCAGATGAAAGTCTTTCTTTAAAAAAACATCTTAATATCTGTGAGACAACCCAGAAAAAAACAAGGCTACTGTGGTATAAGACAACTAGACAGCTGAAGAGTGCACCTGGTAGCTCTGTCGGACAGAGCCATTGTAGAAACAAAAGAGGTTTATCAGCTGATCCAGGAGCTCACAGACACTGATGGTGGGGACTTCCACTGAGCAGCCAAGAGCCTGGGAGGAACCAAAAGATATCCCCAAAATAATCATCAAACACACAGTCAGAAACATCTAGAAAAGTTGCAGCTGAACCACCTTGTGTGCTCACTCACCCAAAAAAAGTCATCTTTCATACGGATGGAAAACGTGTTGCGGCGCAGCCTGAGTATGCGCACAGGGGAGGACGAGAGCTCAGAGACACAGCGGCTCGCGCCAGCAAGCTGACCGCAGAGCAGCTCCTGCTCATCTAAAGGGGTCTGACAGGAATAGATGCAGAAACTAACTTTGAGATTACAGAACTAAAAAACCATGGGTGAAAATATAAACACATAAAGAAGCATTAGATAATCATTATCATATGTAATAATGTGTCATAATGTCAAACCTCTTCAGGGTAGAAGTAGCAGATTCCTTCTCTTGTAGGATCACCCTCTCCTTTGACTTTGGATCCATCATAGAGGAAGAAATAATTACACCTGTAAAGTAGATACACAAAGAAATGTCTCAATGATTCATTTTAATGGCTAAAAAGCAAACACGGTTGTTGTCATAGACTTCAGAGTAGTGCGTCCTTAATTAACAGGCCGTTGTTTCATTTCATCACTTTATTCATATGCTTGATAAGAAAAGCCAAACATGTATTAAAGCAGCTGTGATGCTCCAGCATATTTGATGTTCCAGGTGTAACAGAAATATCTGTTTCGTTTATTTATTTTGCATAATTTAAGAAATTAAATAAAAATTAAACAAACACAACAGAGATAAATAATATCACAGTGCAGGAAGAGGCAAAAAAGCCAACTGGGCTAATTTGAAGCCTCCACCTATATAATATTGAAATTTCACAATATTACAGAGAACATAAAATGAGATAGGACTACGTCAAATATTTTGGACAACATAGTGCGTGGCTGCCCATGTAATGCAATGTGTGTGTGGTATGTTTGGTGCACAATAATAATCAGTATTACTTGGTTGATAGAGGCGGACAGAGAATGCACACACAAAGATCAGAGTAGTGGTTTGTTTTCACCCACTGCAGACAGTGACCATCCTGCAGATAGATGGTCTCTGCAGTAAACCTGGACGCAGTCTCAGCTGATCTCACCTTCTGGAGTCTGGCTGCATGAACTCAGTCATCACCAAGAGAAGCCCAGAAAAGAAGAAGTTAGATGTCGCTCAGTCATCCGTTATCCTACACCCATGTATTTCCTACCGGACACACTGAAGATTCACTCTGACAAAAAAAACAAAAAAAAAGTAGAACTGAAGATTTTAACTGCGACTCCAAGAGAGATGTTACAAATCCCCCGACGCACTGCAGGCTGTCAGCTGTTTGGCACGGAGAACAAAAAAAAAAAAAAGATGATATTAAATATCACGCACACACGACAGCAGCAACGGACAGTGTTCTCATCCACTGTTTACGTGTAATTGCTGCTAAACGTAGTCAGTTTGACAGAGTTAGCGCCACTTGAGGAATGCGGGTCAGTCAGTCACACGTAACGTTAGTGGAAGTCATGTGAAAGTATGGCAAGCCTACAGGGACAAACTAGTGGCCATTACGAAACGATCAACAAGTGGAATATATACTCACAACTTACTTTAAGCAGGCTATGAGTCGCACTACCTCGATATAGAAAAAAAAAAAAAAGCATTACAAGTTAAAGTTTTTCTACATTAATGCTGATGAATTTCTGTGTAGACAACATTTTAATGTCGCAGGGGGTGAAGTGAAGCTATAACTTTTGGATATCTCAGTCTGGTGCAAACTATCATATTTTATGATATGATTATGCTTTCTATGTAACATCTTGCTCTTCACAGTATAGTTGTCAGACATATATAGTATGGAAATACTCTGGTGACGGACAGGTGCCATCAAATTGTACATAAGCCTATATGTAGCCTATTTGAGTACAGTAAATGCACTTCAAAAAGGACCACAGAGGCCCCGGGTAGCTGGGGTATCATAGAAGCCCCCGTTATTCTTACATGTACACTATAACCTCTCGATACTGTGCATAATTACACTGGAAATTCTGCTTCATATGGAGATTTAACTACACGCTTTTAAATTATTGAAAAGAAAAGAAAACACAGCCAGACATGTAATATGCAGGGAATTGCACATGTGTTTACATTGAACATACATGGCAAGAGACTGCGTATAAAATGGACCTGACAGGACATCTTCCTTTGAAGCCATAGTGAATCCTATTTTCAATGCTCGATTGAGGATGCCTTCAGAAGTTGACGGCCAGTGGCTGGATTAAAGCGCGATCAAACCGGAGTCAACTGATCAGGAGAGATCTGTAGAAGTTTCCTCTCTATTCTGAAGTCAGGACTCGGATCTATATCCTAGATACAATCTTAATCGTTGGAGGTAAAATTGTGTTCCCAATGAGTCGCTAAGCAGCCCGCCATATTGAATTTGCCCAAACCTCCGTGCAGGAGTGCAGAGCTCTGCAGCAGGGGCGTAATTTACGGGGGTCCATGTTTATACTAAGGTCTTTGGTTGTTTGGTGCGAATAAACAAATAACCCAGCGGTCAAAGTCAACCAGATGATGCAAGGCAAAAAATAAAAGTTTATTGTGAGAAGGAACAGGACGTTTGAACTCGTTTTGTTATTCTTTTCCTGCTGTTATAGTCAGAGGAAATCAACGCCACCTGTTAATGAGCACTGAATGACAAGCATGGCTCATGAACAACAAACAGGAAAGAAAAACATAGTGGCAGATGGGAAGCACAAAACTCACAATCAGTGTAAGATTGAAGAGTTTAAGCAAATAATGAAGCCGGTGGCAGTTAAATGGCTACTGTTTCTCTTGCTCTGTGATTCTGTAAGTTCCTGCAACGTTACAGACTTCATACATGATTCTGTTGATATATTTTCTCTTGCTTACATATGGTTTGTTACGGTTATTAATCTCTGCATGTGTAACATGTTCAGCATCGGTTTCATTAGTTTAGGCGCAGTTTTAATTTACAGCACATGTCCTATTTCTGTCATTGCCTCACATTACCAACCGCTCAAATACTGTACCGTTGCTCCATGATGTGACTTTTGTATCGCTTTTTTTTTTGGACATACTATTCTGTCACTTTTTATGACTTTTTTTTCTCTATAATATTCTGTGATTTTCCGACATACTATATTATGATTTTGTTATGCCTTTTTTGTTGTTATGATATCTAGCCCATCTCAGTCAGAACCTTCAAAGGGTTCCGTGCAGCAGGTTTCCACCTGCCCATCCAACATTTTCTAACTGCAGACAGGCTATGTCTCATTTGTAGAGTGCCATTTTGAAGCCTTGGGTTCAATATTTTAGCCGTCGCCATCTTGTTTTTTTGCTTTTGCAGTCTTGCTTTTTGCATCCAGAAGAAATACGAGAGGGTGGGACTAAGTAAAACAGAACACGGAATAATACATTCTTAGGAGACCAAAACGGATACAATTCTCAGCGTCACTGGAGTTTAACATCAGAGTGAAGACAGATCACAAGTTTTATATTTGATTTGTTTTCTGATTCACCATTTGGTTTAAATATATGTTGATTGTATGTCTGAACAACAAGGACCACAAACAACTTTCCTCATTTATTAGAAAGATTTATCTGAATATGAACCAATGACATTTTCTCTAGGCATTTAAAGAAAGAATGTAGAAAGACCTTCCATGGTGTAAATGAAGAGGCAGCCTCATAATTTAGAGCAATACTTGTTATCTCTAATGCAAAGAATAAAGTACCGTATGCCACAGGAATTAGTTCCACATTATCTGTGATTCCACAATATGTCTAAATAACACACACAAGGCAACCAAAAAGTGTTCTTGAGTAGTCAAGTTACCTGATCTCAATCCAACTGAGAATGTGTTTCACTTGCTGAAGACCAAACTTCATGAAAAAAGTCACAACAAAGGATTTGCAACCAAATATGAAATAAACAGTTCCTAGACTGCTCTTCAGATGTGGGTGTAGGTTCCCTGTATTGAAGTCATTCATTGTTTAATTCTTTCATTTTTAAATCCAATTTCATTGATAGGGAAATTCTTCTTGGGAACAGGGTTTACACAGAGCCTCCACAGAGGCTCCACATCTTCATGACACTGCCCTGAAGTCTCACCGGGCCTGGACCTTGTGGCAACTCTTGCCGAGACGATTTCGGGATTGAAATAACATGTTGTCAATTAAAGGGAAGATTCCAATACTGTCAACATCTGCTGACTGCACTAGTCGGCCCTGTGTGCTGCTGCATGTGTAGAGTTGCACAGTGCAATACCGCAACAATAAGAAAGGGTACGACACACAAAAGACATTGCAGTTAACTCCCCCGAGTTTATAAAACAAATTATGTGACTGACGCAGTGTATTACAACTGTCAGACCAGGAATAAATAAAACATTGTTTTAACATATAATAGTGAGATAAAACATTAGCATTTCTTTGCATGGTCACAGCAGCTGCTTATCGAGTAATAACATTTCTTTCTCCATCTTCCTCATTTTAAGTGCTCTGTATGCCATCTGTTGGTCACGGTTTTCTATCTCTTTCTTGAGGTAGCAGCAGTAAAGGGTTTTTATATCTTCTGTCTGCCTCTGCAAAAGAAATGAAACAACACATGAGCTCATATTGTTCTTATTCTTTGTCACTACCATAACCCACCACTGAAACAAAACTCACCACAGCACTTCTTCCACCGATTGTAGCACAAGCTGAGTTATCCCTCTCCTGGAAGCTGTGCACATCCTACAAAAAATAACCTCTATATGGTAAGTGTTCAAAGGACAAATGCCTAAAAAAAAACAACCCTGTCTCCTATAAAATTACGCATGGAACTAAACTGCACTCTCAATTACTTTCCAGAGAAACGTTTTCTCCCAGATTATGGTTGCAGTTTGAAACAGTTTGAAACACATGGTTAATATTGTAAATGAAGAAAGCTATTATACTATTATAACTACTAACTAATAGTTATTTAGTTCAAGTTCAAGACCTTTATTTGTCCCAGAGGGGCGATTTGATCTGACGCAGTACCAATAAAAAACACAGCGCAAGACACACAAGATAAAAACCACTCATAACTAATCACACATAATAAAAACACATACAAATAGAAGAGTTAAAGGTGAATGCATGAAGTAAATAAGTTAAACTGCACATTTAGGAAACAAAAGTACACACAAACAGAAGTCCCCTGGGTTTTTCTGACCCACCCTCCTCCCTACGCTGACTCATTTCAAACCTATTTGTGATTGATTTACAATTTGGTTGTATGGGAACATTATTTTTAAGAGACAGGGTTGCTAAAAAATGAAACATGTTTAGCAGCACTTACCCCTTCAAAATGAGTGTCACTGACGTCTGTCTCATCACTGCTCAGGCTCTCTGGTTCAGTCTTTGTTACAGGCAAGAGGAGGACAGGATGGCCTGAGACTGTATGGGTGGGGCCCAACATGGAGTTAGACAAGGGGAAATTCTTTCAAGTTTCAATCAGACTACAAGTTCACGTACCACTAATAAATGAGCTGTCAGATCCAGTCAGTGGCTCAATACAAGCACCTCCTAGGACCTCCACTCGCAGCCTGTTGTCTTTGTGCTGCAGCACATCCTCCTCTGCAGAAGTCAGCGACGGCATTGGCGACCCCCCTTCATTCCTCATCACCTCGACCTGTCTTCTTTTTGCTGAATGAGCACAGACCTGAGAGGTGAAACACTCCCCTGGACATTATTATGAAGATGTAGACGTGCACGAACAAGGTTACCTGTTTGCACTATATTTTTATGTTTGACTTTCACTTGCTGCCACGACCTTTTGTAGCCGCTGTCCGTTACCCTGGGAAGTCGTGAAAAATAATAAATGGTTATGTGTCAGTGATGGTGAAATTGTTGGAAGGTCCAAATATTAGAGTGACAAATATTTTAAAACAGGTTTTAATGAGACACACTTATGTGAATAAATCTTCTTACATGTTTATTTTATCAGCAATTCTCTGCCAGGCTTCTTCTCTCAGTTTAGAGGCACTGGTAGTGTTTGATTTGGCTGTCAATATCTCTCGCTCTTCTTCATACAACTTCAAAATGAGTTCCTGCTCTTTAGAGCTGAAGAAATGTGCCCTCTCCTGTTTTCTCATCATCTGGAAATCTATTAAAAAACACACAAAAATAAAGGACCTGTAAATATACATGTTTGCGAGTCTGAATGATTATTGTTTCTGTATATTTTACAAGATGAGATCATGAACAAGGTCTCCTCACCTCTGTCTGTGTTCATTTATAATGATCCGGGTTTCTGCGTGCGATTGCTTTTCCCTTGTGACCGAGCGGGTGCGCGCAGTTATCCGAGATGTTTCAATGCTCGATTTAGTAATCAAATCGTTACCCACGGTCTTCACACGGAATAAACCCGATCGTAATAAATAGTGCAGTTTAGTCAAGGCACGCTTCAACATTAATCAATAACTGTCCATGCGACGGAAACGGATTAAAGACAACCGGTGTTATGAAGCTAGTTATCAGCTAGCTTTGTTAACCCAGGATTTTCTAATTCGGCTTAAGGCGCGTTCACGTGAAAGAGGTGGAGTCTGTAACAAAGAGCAAGTCACGTGAAACAGGTCTACATCATCCTACTAGATATTTACCATTGTTCCACACGAGACATCTCGTGTAAATGCAATAAATAACGTTATGTGAAATAACATAAGTAAAACATAAGTGTACAATATAATACCCAGATATGTGCACATTTCACAACTGTAACTCCACTGTATTAGATTATTTATTTATTTATGTATTTTTCAGGGACAATGCACACTAATCAACAGCACTGTAAGTGAGCCAGAGAGGCTAATTTCCATCTGCTGTCCCCGGCCAGATGTTTCAAGGCAGCCTAAAATAACAAAATGTCAAATTGAAAAGGAATTAAAATTCATAGAGAAACGGACAGCAACGTATAGACAAAACCAATACACAGCAAAAGAAAAGTGTACGATATTAAAGCAGAGCAGACATAACAGGCTTCAGCATGCGTCACGCAGAACAGACTCACCTACAGGACAAGCACATATATAACACTGAAGCACATAACATACACATAAAAAAATGGAAAATAGCAACACTGAACAAGACAAATGCACATATAGGCGAAACAAGCAGGCAGGGCAGACAGCACATCAATGCTTGCACACCTGATTGGCAACAAGCCATTCCTTGAAGTTATGCTTGAATGTCTTGTACGTGTTTTGTGTGCGTATGTGTGGTGGCAGAGCATTCCACCAGTGAGCTGCCTTCACAGAGAATGTAGATTTACTAAACGAGCTTGACCTATGTGGAATGACACAATCACCTCTTAAAGCAGATCTAGTGAGTCTGCTGCTTTGAGTGCTTTGTTTAATAAAATCACTAAGTGGAGGCAGGGCCATACCATGTAAAACTTTAAAAACCAGACACACATCAGTGAATTTAATGATGTTCTCCCAACTCAGGGTATGGTGTTTGGTGAGAATATTGCAGTGATAGTGTTTTTAGAGCTTGTTTATGGAGAATATGAATGGATATTAATTTAAATTCACTTTATTTCCAATTTAACTTTCAGCCTCAGCCTTTTATTTTTTCCGGAATTTAACATTTATAGACAAGCTTTAATCAGTGTATGCAGCTATGTATAAACATTTAACACTCAATTGTGAAAAGGCACATGAATTCAAAGGCTGGTAATTCTGTCGCATTACTGTATGCCATTTACATTTATAAAAACGATTAGGTGAAATGTTTCCCACCTTCACAGGTGTGAGGGAGGGAGATGGCAATCATAGCATATACACGTTTTCACTCCTCGAGGCCAAATCAGCCATATGTGAACGAAGGGTCAAGAGGGGCTTTAAATAGCTAATAAATTAAAAGGTGCTACACACACACACACACACAATTACAGCATTTCTATTGCCTGTAAAGCTGTAACCGCCACCGTACTGCAGAGCAGCAGCTGTGGGAGCCAGTGGGGCCTCCTCACATCGACGAACATGCACTAAAAGTGTGCACAGCCTGCCCGGCTATGTCAACAAAAGAAGGAGAAGCTCGGATAACAACACACAAACAGAGGGAGAAATTACTGAACTAATCTTTAATTAACAAATTCTTGTTTGCTGCTATATTAAGGATCTGAATCCTGTATATTGCACCTTTAAATAGAAAGTGAGATTGGAAAGCTGCAGGTGTTTCAAATAATATTTACTATGGCTCCATTGTGTTAATGTTCTCAGTAAGCTATGGCAGAGTTCAACCATCCTTCATTTATTTATTTATTATTTACACCTATGTTGTTACTGCTGGGACCTCTAAAAATTGTTTCCTGTGCTTAAATACATTGACGGTGAACAACACAAAATAAATTAGACATGAATTGAGGTAATATTAGTTACTTTATTTATGTTAATTCAGGATCAGTCTGACATGTTGATGGTCCAGAGTAAAGGAACTGTTGGTTCGGGTGCCCCATGTTGAGAGCACAGAGGTAAACACAACAAAAGTGAAGAGTAAACTGTAAATAGAAGTATGGTCCAGTAACAACCGCTGAAGGAGGACTGGTCCCCGTGCCCGTTAGGAGGTCTGGAGGAAGGGTTTTACTCATCGTGGCCCTCATAGCCGGCAGGAAGAGGATTCAAGTGTGCATTGTGGAAAAGGGATTTGTTGCCATCACCCCAAGGGAAACGCTGTAAGAAAAAAAAATGAATGCAACACATAATCCAGTAAAAATATAGGCAAGTGTGGCATTTTTTAATGTGAATAATTGATGTTGCATGAAGTCAGACCTTGCTGCGAATGCGAAGGTGGGAGTAAGGGACAAACTCTGGCTGTTCATGGGAATGCTGCTGCTCTTTGAGGTACATGTTCAACATGCACACCGCAACACCAGGGAGGGCAACCACAAAAGAGAGGATCTTCCATGTCTTGGCTGGAAGAGACGGACAATAATGATTAGTTTGACAAAAAAAAAAAAAAAAAAAAGCAATCCGAAATCCAATCACACGAAACATTAGGGATAAATGTGCTTTTAAGACAAAAGACACTTTCTTTAGGACATATAAAGTGAAGTTTCATTACGTACTAAAACTGCACCCACCAAATCTGTCATTACTTAATGTTAAACATATATGTCAGATAGGTGACCTCACGCTACTACCCAGAGTGTGTGCTTTACCACAGTTAAAATGTGGAATACCACCAGCTTATATCTCTGGACCTTACGAGGCAGTACACTTTCTACTGACAGCAATGTGTGATGCTAAATATTTCCTGTATAACTAAGTCACATAATCATTTAATAACAAGTTCTTCCATCAGTTCCAGCAATCATTTCCATCAAAATACACATCAATGGGGAATAAATGGTAAATGTTATTACTTACTTATTACTTTTTGATTAATAATGAGTAATATTACTATAATTGTATATTTAAATTTCGAGTGTCTCTTGACCTGATAGGACCATGTAGTTGCTCTTTAGCTCACAGGACACATCGTTCGTGACCCTGCTCCACTTCCAAGCCATATAAAGAACGAACTTAAGTTAATTTAAACTACATTAAGACTGCACCAGTCAAGTGGATGTTTCAATGAAGTGGCAGGCTGACATTACAACGTCTTTAGGTCAGAAAGACAATATTTTGAGCCGCTTCTTCTACGTGTTGTCGGCTTAAGGATTCAAAAGCTATTGCTAATGCTGAACCAGCTAACGTTAGCTCAGCAAGGTCACTGTCAAAACATCACAAGTTAGGTAAAAAATAAATGACATTGAGTACAATTAGGGGATTACAATGTCGCGGTACAATTACCTGCTTGCTCGCTGTGTCCGCCAGCAGCAGCAGCGGCAGAGAGCTGACGCCGGGTCTGGGTCAAATAAGACCGTACCAACATTTGAGAGACGCGTCCGACAGCCGCCATTTTCCTTTCTGAGAAGCTCAGAGACCGGAAGGAAGTCATATTGTTTAGAAGTGTCACGTGGAAGTCAGACAGCTCCACTAAGCCACCAAGCGGTGAGACTGTGAACTACAGCAACTCAGTAGATAAACTCAGTTCAAGTTTGCAGTTGTTCTGCCATTAAAGGTTCATGTGCACTTTACAAAATGTGGGAAATTATTTTTTTTAATCACCACAAGGCAATGCAGTGCAAGAATGAGTCTCACTTGTAAAGTTGTTTAGAAAATAGTCACTGAAGTAGGTTGCAATTAATATTAAATTCACAAATTCAATTTTGATGGTAGTCAAAGTGTCTTTTGTCCCGAGACAGTAGATAGTATGTACAGTTTGTGCTTTATAACACAAGGCAGAACAGTACCAAAAAAAGGTGATTGACATATAGTCCATAGTTGTTTTGGTCCTCTTAGATGAGTGGGGATTAAAGAGTCTGGTAGTAAGAGACACTGATGCAAAGTTATTTGACTTGTTTGTGTCCTCGACTTGAGGTGATCTGTATGTATCATCTGTATCTAACAAAATGTGAAGTTTCCACTGCATATGCTAAAGCAATAGTTCCACGTCTCACAAGGACTCAGTCACAATTACACCAAATAGTTTTATGTTGATTTTGGGGATATTTTTTTATTTTTTGCTTTCTTTCTTGTTACATACTGTACACTGAATACTTCTCCAGGACTCTTAAACCAATCCAAATAAAACAGTATGTGAAGGGGAAAACCACTCTTTGAATGAAATGTACCTCATAGATAAAAGATTGCAAGAAGACATTGCTTTGTATAAAGTCACAAGTAAAACAAGTTCTACGGTATGGGGAAGCTGGTTTTCACTCACAGGCATACATAGTGGTAACTCAAACTTACAATGACAATAGGAAGGAAATTATTTTGTGTAATGGTGTCACAATTGTCATATCCCCAAAATTCTCTTGGTCTTTTCTCCTTAATTACCTACACATCAGGAAATCATCTCACACATCATACAAAACAGAACAAACTCTTATTTCCCGTTTTATTTTGTGACCGTAGACAAATTATAACTGAATGATTACATTGAAAATCGTGTGTTTAAAGTGTTTCTCTTTAAAGGGGAGGACTTTGTGTGATCTCATGATCAGAGTCCAACCAGAGCGATTCTGAGATATTCTGGTTGATGAAGGCAAGTGATTAATGTTCACTTTGTTTGTTCTTGGGGGGGGGGGGGGGGGAAAATCTATTTTCCAAGAGAATCTGCTTGTTTTCAGTAATGGAGTCTGTGTCACGAGTTTTGGTCAATTGACAACAGTTCTGTCCCCGGAGAGCACAAGACGACTGTACAAACCGGTATGACATGTACAAGTCTTCTAATTTTGATCCAATAATCCATTGTCACCTTAAACTATGAATAAATGTATTAGTGTATTAGTGTCTGCAGGTATGAAGAAGATAGTGGTTTGTGTCCTCTATGGAGTCCTGGTGCTGCTGCTGATTCTGCTGATGGTCATTGGGATAAAATATACAACTTTATACTCAGTTTTCATGTAGCCAACTCACATTCTTCATCTTATCATATAACCATTTTTTTTATCTTAAAGTCTCCCAGTTAAATAAGGAAATAACTGATGTCAAACTCAGCCTTGAGAGAATCAGCAATGGAGGAACAACCTCATTGTCCAGTTCAGGTCAGGAAATGTTTTCAGGTCTGGTTTTAATGATGTTCAATCGATGCCCTCATTACAGCTTTTGTTTTATTGTTTCCAAATTTAAGGTGCAACATCTGTGCAGGAGGTCCCCTTATCGAGACTTGTCCCAGTCAGAGGTAAACACTGAATCCTTTAATATCAAAATTCACTTCCCCCCCCCCCAAAATCAGGCTGTCTTGACCCTCATCAAAGGAGCATGTAGGGATGGCTGGGTGTCTTTCCAGACAAGCTGCTACGTGCTATCCACCACAACCGTGACCTGGAGCAAAGCAGAGGAGCAGTGCCAAAAACACGGAGGACACCTAGTGGTTGTGAATGATGTTGTGGAACTGGTGAGGTTCAAGTTTACATCAGTTTGGTTCCATACATTTTAAACTGCGTCGTCTTCCTGCGACTGAATACAGGACTCTGATCAGCAGCACACCCTGTCTCAGAATAAACAAAGGCCTCAAACAACCTGTTGCTACTTTTGATTCCTAGGACTACATTTCAGGAGTAGTTGATATCAAATATAGCTATTGGATTGGACTGGTGGAGCGAGAACATGAGGGACACTGGAGCTGGGTGGATGGAACAGACTTCAATTCAACCCCAATGTAAGCTATTTATATAAAAAAAAAAAAAAAAAAAAAAAAGGGAACAACGTTTTGGTAAGTTCAATTATAAGTAGCATATTAATTGTTTCTTATCCTGTCGCCGTTTAGGTTCTGGGATAACGGTCAGCCTGACAACTGGGACTACAGAGAGAACGGAGAGGACTGTGGGCAGATTCATGCTTCTGAGAGACGCAAACGCAAGATGTGGAACGATGCAGACTGTAATCTGCCGTATCATTACATCTGTGAGACAAGAGCGTGAGAGCCAGTGAACCTTTACAAACATGACATAAAATAATGGCTCAAATAAACTGATGGAAATTATGTTTTAAAATATCCATTTTCAGAGTCACGAAATGGATAAAAGTTGCATATACAATACACGTGTGAGGTCTTTGTTGGACAATAAAACAGCAACTATGAGTACAGTTGCTTTTATTAGAGACACTCTACACTTCTCCCCCCGAGTCCTTCGGCTTACGTGCAGCGCTCACTGGGAAGGTGGTCATTTCCTTCATTATAGCCGGCCTTGGCAAAGCACATGGCTGCATTCCTGTCACACTCACAGATGAACTTCTCACAGGGATCGTTGTCCTCTAAATAACAACGACAGAAAAGAGCAGCAGCCGAGTGAGGAAGAAGAAAAAAAGAAAACAGGGCAACCCACACAATTTGTGTCCCTCATCCACATACTGACAACTCTAATATTAAAGATTTCATTGGAAGTGTTGTTGAACGCTCACTCAGGCAGGTGGAGGTCTTGTTGGCCTCGTCACACCTGTAGCTGTATACTTTAGTGTCGGGGTTGTCCAGGACTGGCACGCAATCGTCGTGTTGCATGGCATCACCGTAGCACTGGTCGTGGACCTCACAGCATCTGCAACATACAGAAAGCATAAAGGTGATTACACCACCTTCTTTACATCGCGATGAAGCAAATAACCTGCCGTTTCATAGTTCCTTGACTTTTAGGAGATCTATAAAATGTCAAATACTGAAAAATGTCTTTTACAAGGAGGTATCATCTTGTCCAAAGACTCTAAAGATATTCAGCGTACAATCACAGAAGATCCAGATTTTCTACAAATTTGTTTTAAGAAAGGAATGTCATATTTACACGGCCTCTGAAAGAACACACACGTCCAGTTTTACATTTGTTCAATTAGAAACAGATAAAGATGAAGAGAAGACAACTAACAAATTAAACATACAGTATATTCACATTCAAGAAGCTGGAACAAGTAAATACATTTGTGTCAAACAAAATTCAATCCACCTCCATTGTCTTGGAATGACTGCAGGAGTCTCAGAGGACTATATTTGACAACCTTTGTACACAACTAAAAAAAAAAACTGTTGCTTGCAACGACACCATTAGAGGCAAGTCAGAAAATGTGTTTTTGTCTTATTGCAATTCAACCTTTTAAATAAGAAATAGATCAGCATTACCTGTCAACATCATCTACAGGTGTGCCAGAGCCTCCCAGCCCACAGTAGCAGCCATAGTCAGCGTAGTCAAACACCGGCCAGCTGTCAGGTTGAGCACAGATTATCATCGCCCTGAACTGCAACAAATGTTTTCTATGCAGCACTAGGGGACACAATGGAGACATCTCAGACAAAGCTAGTTCCCATCTCAAAACCACCATGACATAAAAATATCCCTGATGTCAATCAATAAGACATGCATAACTCTCAAAGTCATCCTGAGAGGTTTTCTACTTCTGAGTACTCACGGACTCCCGTGTGGCTGAGCAACAGGCTGAGCATGGAGTGAATCAGAAGCATCTTGCAGGTGACGATGTGGAATGTAAAGCTAAAGCCTTATAGTCTCTCTCTATCCCACCCCAGCAGCTGCAGCTTGTGAGCGAACGGGCTGGGTCCAATCACCAATTAGTGCCATGGTGGTGGAAAGGCCGGGAGAGCCACACAGAAGCAGAGTTCAAGCTCTGTGTGTGTGTGTGCGTGTGTGTGTGTGCGCGTGTGTGTGCGCGTGTGCGCGTGTGCGTGTGTTTTTCACAACAGTTTTCACCTCAAGCTGACTAGTACTCCTCATGACGGGTAAACTGAATCTCAGGTGTAAAAATAGTGGAATGGCCCTTTAATAATTCTGATCTTGTTGACATGAACGTTTTTTTTTTAACGTCCTTTTTATTTACAGCGGTGCCTATCCATTAACAGATCTTAACAGGAGGACCGGTTTGTGCGTCTGAAGCTAAACTTACCAATGCTGCCTCCTGCTGTTCAGTTTGAGAACATCTTTTTTCTCTCCAGTATCTCATTGCTTTGATTAGACAGTGCAGATTAAAGGATATGCCACCACGTGCACACAAAAAAATACAAAAATATCAAATTAGTTGTGGTATATTGGGGAGCTCATAATAGATAACATTATTCTCATCCGTCTGAATGTTGTTCTGAGGTCGGTTATCCAGGTGTTAGTGTGTTTTGTACAAAAGAAGATCTCTGTGTAGTGTGCACTGCTCAGTCCTTAACTTGTGAAGAATTCCAGACCACAGGTGTAGAATATCACCCATCTGTGTTTTACTGTTAGGGGGCAGCACATCCACACACTTGTTATTTATTTAGTTCATGTGCCCGCTCGTTTTTTTTAGTGTTTGCAAGGATCCAGATGTTAACAGGGATTTTGTTTCTACAGGTTATCCAGGCTTCCAGACAGCCACCTACACCAGTCGGAGCTATGCTGGCATCACTCCTGGATATACCTACCAGTTCCCTGGTAATCACAGCACACTTCTGCTCCGGATACACTCTGTCAACTGAGAAATCGATATACAGCCATATTTAGTTAGTATTTAGCTAGCAGGTGCAAGTGTTCAGGGTTTCAGCATTACAGGTGCATTGTGATGGGTGAGACAGTGACAATGCTAACATGCTGTCATTTAGCAGGTAGTATTTACAAGGTTCACCATCATAGTTTTGCATAATAGCATGCTAACATTTGCTAATCAGCATTTAACACAAAGTACAGTTCAGGCTGATTCCAAAGTATTGGAAGAATTGAAATTATGACCTGATGATGGCATGAGAGGAAAAGTCATAGATCTTATCCTCTAGAGATCTATATGCAGCAAATATCACAGCAGTCTATCTAATAGTTGCAGCATAGCTAAATAGGTCTTAAATGCCTGAGCAGCAGGTGAACACGTTTCAATGAAAGGATAGTTTTGGTGTAAATACTCCTCTCACCTGATAAATTAACTTTAACCAGTACTGTGTGTTGTTGTCCAGACAGTAGACACACTGTCACAAATACAAACATGTTTCCATAGAAGCACGTGAAACACTGTGAGTGTAAATGGCTGCTTGTAAATATCAGGGAGTGGAATTTTGTGTTTGTGCGTATGGCAGTGTATTTCACTTGAGTGTATGAAGCTAATCTAGGGGTTGCTCCCAGTATTAGGTGTTTTGCATATTGATGAAATGATACACTTGGTTTAAAGTTGTTGTAACATTTGCTGTATTTTTTTGCTATTTAATACTGATTTTAATACCACTATATTGAAAGCATTCGTCCATCCTTTAACTCCTGTTTGCATCCCTTAAACCTTGTGTGTTACAATATGTGCTCTCCGTACCTCCTGTCGTCCCCTCAGAGGGGTTTCCCTGCCTGTGTGTGTGTGTGTGTGTGTGTTAATAGTCTGACCCTCTAGTGTGGTGTTTTGAGGACCATTATTACTGCTGTTTGTTATTGTCGCTTTCCTTTTAAGAAGGTAGTTTTCCGTTGTTGCCTTTGTGAGCATCTTTTCATCAACAAATTGTTTTTTGATTATTCATCTGTTTTCCATGAATCTTTTTCCCTGGGTTATTTACTTTGTTACTCCCCTCATCCCCTAGACTTTAATCGGGGAACTTAACACCTATATTGACTCCTGACCTTGAGGGGGGGGTCCTTTTTGGCCAATGGCTAAGAGTCACCCAATCTCTTACTCTATACACTATACATTATGCAACATGTATACATATACAAACAGTATGCATACACAAACATATACAGACAGACACACACTCATGCTTGTTACATACATGTTTGGTCCATTATTATCATAGTTTGTGTCATGTTTCTTGTGTATATTGTTGTATTATCCTAAAGTGACCCAGCTTGGGCAATGTGCAGTGGAAAGTCTTGGGAAGTGCTAGCTATTTACACAGCTGTGTGTTGGAAACTTATTTTAAATTTAACTCCTGTTTAGAGAAGGTAAAAGCAAACATGAGTGAGGACAGAGTGAACCGAAAGGAAAGACCAAATAGATCAGGGAATATTTGATTAGGATATTTAAAGAATATATGTAAAAAGATCAAAAGGAAATTATAACAAATGTCCTGCCTAACCTGTGAGGGGAAAATAAATGAGTCCTTGTCTACCTTGTCTTGTTGTATTTCCTGTGGATAGTTTATCTTATTTACCTGAACGGTAAGCTGCCAACAGGATCATAATAATAATAATTAATATTATTATTGTTGTTATTATTATTACTCCTACTATTGTTATTGTCATTCCTATAGCTTTAGCTATACGATTTGGCATCTAGCTGAGAAAGCCCAAACTTGAACAAGATTTGGAAAATGATTGCTCCTATATTGACCGAATATCAATCAGGCTTCATTTGTGATTGGACAGCTGATGTGCAGTGACATTCAGTATCAAGGCACTAGTGAAGTTGTAAAATGCTGTTCCAGGTTCACTAAAGGTGATACTGAAGACGGAATCAGTTCAATGAAGATGTCGAATAAAAGGGATTTTGTGAGAACAAAGCTTAAAGCTGTCAGTCTTCTTGTTTGCTCTTGCTTTTGACTGCTTCTCCTTCGAGATAGCTGGGTCTAAGAAGAGAAAACATAAAACTGATTTTATGTTTTACTGTCACACCTGTAAAATAAGGTGTTAAATACAGGCTGAGGTAAACGCAATTCTCAAGTAGAAACTTTAGAACAAGTAGCTCCTCACTTAAAGCACCCACCCTCTTGTCACTCTCTCTTATCTCTAGTTGTCTCTCACCTCCTGTTATATAAGAACAGGCTGCACCTAAATGTATGTTATTCTGACTGCAGCCATGAATCTGACAGCTCCTCTGCTGCTGCTACTTCTCACTGGTAAGCTTGAACAAGCTGTCAATATGTATAACTCCTGAAAATAACACACATTGTGAACATGTGCTGTTTGTGAAATTGTCTTTATCGCTCAATTCATAACTGAGCATTCTTTTAAGGATATGCCTTTTCTGATTTATCCATCATGTGTTCTTATTTGTCTGCCTCACATTTCTTCACCAGCTTGTACAGCCAGTGGTGCGCAGCTGCCCAAGGCCTTATGGCAGTTTGCGAATATGATCCAATGCGCTCAGCCTGGCATGAACGCTCTACAATACAACAATTACGGCTGCTGGTGCGGCCTCGGAGGAACGGGAAGCCCTGTGGATGAAGTGGACATGTAGGATGCAAACATTAGCCAATTTTGTTTTCATCAATTTAAGAATGAAAGTAACTTGAGGTCTCCTGTATTCTTAGGTGCTGTGAAGTTCATGATAAATGCTATAGAGCAAGCAGAAAGGCTCCTGGATGCACGGCTATTGTGGACCTGCCCTATGTTCTCGTCTATGATTTCACCTGTTCAAATCAACAAGTGACCTGCTCGGGTAAGACTGTGACCCCACTACGATGGCTTGTCCAACTCATTTAGACATCAAATTTGACATATTTTCAGTGAATTTTTAGTGACATTCTGCAACGACACTGTTAACAAAAAACCTTGATTTTATAAATCAAGGTTTTTGGGTGGATTTCATTGGCTGGTTAAAAGAACAGCACTGACTGTAGCTGTACTGTATAGAAGTTAAACAAGGCTGCATCTGTGGTCCTGTGTGTACTGTACATACAACTGTATTTAGACAGCTATACATAGGTATTATGCAGCCGGGGAATGAGGTTTGATTCACAGTTGGGAGTACCTAACTGCAAACAAATGCTTCCCTATACTGCAGAGCACTTGTACACTAGTACCGATAATGTGAGAGGGAGCTTCATGTTACGCTATTATTGACCAGCTATCTGTCAATTTCCTGACTCAACTCTGTCTCCGCAGCTACCAACAATAAGTGTCAGGCTGCCGTGTGCGAGTGTGATCGGGTGGCGGCTCACTGCTTTGCTCAGACTCCATACAACCCTGAAAACAAAAACCTGGATCCCAAAGTCCACTGTGTCGACTGAGTTATCCAATCCACAAAAACACACAAGGGTTGGATTTCTAACCTATTTCTTTTCTAATTTTAATTTCTCTGTAATTTGTACACAAAACCAGATGTAAAAGAAGTTTGATTTTGTACAATAGCATTAGTTTGAAATAAAATAGGCAAGTGAGATTCTCAGTGTGTCATTTCAGTTGAATTCCAGCCTCTGCTTGTCCTTGAGTCTGTTTGCCCACATATGGAGAGCTTGTGTAGCACAGGTTGCAGTAGTGCTTATCGCACCATTATATTTTTCCAGCCACAATTTCTGTTCACTTAAATATGTAAAGCAACACTCGAGGCAGGTTTCCACTTATGCATCATGTGTTATAAGAAAGAAAGCTTTAGGTTGTAGTTATGGATCATGAATTGACATACATTGTGCAGCAACTTTAAATACATTTTATTAGATTATGGGATTACAGGATGGTAAAACAGATGTATCAAATGTTTTGGATTGATATCAGGAAGATAATTAGTTGTAGTTTTAACAAAACAATGCGAGCAGCAGCTGTGTACAACAGATGAATTATAAAATAAGAGGCTGCATCATAGCTCTGTGGATTATACTGGCTTGTAGAGAAGTGTGGTCACATATTTCTTTTTGTATCGGTGCGTTGCACTGAGGACCATCACGCCGTCCTGAAAAACAACGACACAAAGAGTATTTTGATAAAAGTGGGGTATATAGCTGAAGTTCACACCGTTCAAGCAGAAATTGTTTGACCTAAAAATAGTTTGCTTTACCACAGAAAATAAGGGAAAGTCATTAAATAATACGTTTTAGAAGATAAAGAGAATTTATGTCCGTTCAAAAGACGGAACAACAGATATTTGTTGACCAACATTTTATGCATGTTGTATGTCGTATGCATGACATGCAGCACATCATTTCCCATCAGTTTGAGCAAAATCCATTTAGTGTTGTCGAAGATATTTTGTCTCTCAGACAGATGAAGTTGATCCATAATTTCCGCCTGAGTGACAGCCATAAACTAGAATTACCGCCTCGCGGTAACACGACATGTCTGTCCAAAAAAGTCACTTCTTCATTTTATCCTATTAGACATTTGTGTGAAATTGTCATAATTAGCATATGAATTCTTGAGTTATGGCCAGAAATGTGCTTTGTAAGGTCACAGTTATCTTTGACAACTGATGCAACTGAATAAAGAAATTCCCTCCAGGCCTTCCTGAGATATCACGTAGACGATCATGGGCCGGACAACCTGAAAACATAATGAATAAAAAAACATATCTGCTACAGGAGGATCTGTTACCTTGATGGAGAGGGCGTACAGGTGATTGAGCATCACATGGTTGGGTTCTGGAAGCAGTGTTGGGTCACACTGATGAGGATGTAGAGAGAGGATGAGTTTGACTACATTGCATGCTGTCATAACAGGTTTCTAAAGTGCTGTGCACCACTGAGACGAGCGTGTATTCCAGCATTCAGCCTGTACTTACAGAAATACCCGTGTCCTTGTTGAGCAGCACTTGCAGCAGGTGGGGAGGTAGGTAGGGAGGATTCTTGATCTTGTCCTCTGGCTTGGTCACATATGCATCCTGTAGGTAGGGGCCGGGAGGGGAACTGGACAAGTCTGGGGAAGAATGAACACACCGCACTATTTAATACATCAAGAGAATGAGGTATAAAGGATTCCTCAAGGTTCATGCATTAGCAAATGTCATTGACGAATACAATCTACTCTAAAAAAGTAATTGCTCAAAAATGTTATAGTTAACTTTACTATGATCATTGGCTTTACTGCACCAGATTAAGTTTCCCCACAAGTCTTTTGTTTTAATATGGCACACGTTCTAATATTTAAAGTTAATTAAAACTGTCTTCAATAATATCTGGGCAGTCTGAAAGTAGTTCATGATGAATGCCAGTACCCGAGATGTCAGCAGTATCCTCCGAGTCGATCCTGAGAGCGTCAAAGACTTCAAAGTCAGTTGTCTTCACCTGGATGACATTATTAACTGAGCCAGTTTTAGACGTCACCACGGCCTGGGAGAGAGTGTAAACAGAAATTTGATACAGACGCTCGTGAGTGTGGAGTAGGCATTTCTACCACAATGGAAAAATACAAGCACATTGGTCATATATATTATCATTATATATTATATAAAAAGGTGGATGATCTCTAAAACGTAAGCTTTCACTCACCCCAGTAGGATCCAAGGTCCACTGACCGTCTACACAGAACTTGTACTGGTGCTCTCCCTCTGGCAGGTCCACAATAGCCACAAAGTTTTTCTGACTGGGTTTAAAAGACATTTGCGTGTTACACCTCTATCAGTACACACGGATGCAGAATGTACAGTCTGGTGATGCATTCTGCATGAGTCAAACTACCTTTTGTTGAGAGGGATCTTGGTGGCCCAGTTGTTAAAGGAGCCGGACACAAAAACTTCCTTGGCGGCCCCCGGCCACCTGAACATAGTGGGTCTGTCCTGGGTTGGACTTTTGCCATCACTCACCAGGTCATGCTGCCAGGCCAGAAATTCCTGTATTTCCTCAGGAGCCTGTACAGCATGATATAAAGGTATTGTTGCCATGTTAATAAATGCACCTTCAATCTCTGCCACTGTTCCACAACACTTCCTGACCGAACGGCCGGCTGAGAGAAAGCTGAGGACGGAGTCGACTGGTTTGTGTGTTTGTATGCTTTGGAAAAATAGTTTTTTAAAGTATGTTTTCTTGCAAACTCTTTGATTTTTGTCATCTGCGTTCCTCCTTGTTGAGAACAGACATAACATATAAGCTTAATATTTGGTTTCTGTCTGGAGTTTTAGGTAAGTTCTTTTAAGATAAATATGTTACCTGCCAATTAAATTTAAAGTGATAGATTAGATGGATAGTTTTCATGACAGCACATATGATTTATATACATAATGTATGACTTTGCCTGTACATACAGTAGGCTATGTACGGCCTCGCCTGTGCATCCATGACAGATATTTTGCAAATCCTGTATATATGCAGCCATTTTTTATTTACTGCATTTAACTATTTCAAAATGATATGTCTTTATATCAGCAGTGTTCACAACATAATGAGTGATATTGCATTCATCAATATTTTTATTATATTTGTTATAACTTATGCATTCCCATCTGCAATTTTGCCCAATTTTATGCTAACAGTTTTACTAAAGCATACGAAAAGTCTCAAACCTAGAGATGCTCACAAGTCACTTTTCTGCAAGTCAACTCTCAAGTCACTGTGTGAGCAACTTAAGTGTGACCTGGTCCAACACCCCATCTCTGTTTCTTACCTTTGTGTCTTCTCTCTGGAAAAGGTCTCCGTCCTCTGAGTTGTCTATCAGGATGGTGGCGCTTGCCTCTTTCCCTCTCTCACCCTGACCCCCACTGGACCTGTCGCTGCTGCTGTTCCCCATCCTGGTGGCATCAAACACTGCAAGACACACACACACACAGACACACACACACCAAATCATGTCAGTACCACCAGGAGCCCCGGATGACTGCAAGTCCAATGATCCTCTGAAATACCCGAGTTCATAGGTTTCATTTTATGTACCAGCAGTAAAAGCCTATGGTAATGAAAAAAACCCACCTAAGTCTTCCCAGGGGAGGTTTGGTTGGATGTGGTCTTATCAAACGGAGGTCTCTGGTCTCGTGCACATCTGTTTTGGGTTCCTGGATGTACAAACGTCCCGGTGCTTTTATCGTTGTTGTTTTCGTCTCTGAACGGCAGAAGTTTTCCTCTCGGACTAGAAGCACAACCATGAGGCGGAGCAGAGTTCACCGTCCCGCAGACGAGCACCAGACGAGCAGTCACTTGTTTTGTTTACGTTCTTTCTGTTTCCTTTTACCTACCACTAGTTATTCCTCTAATCTCCCGAGGTCAGCTGTACTTTGTGCGTTTTCGCCATTTAAGGGAAACCTCGGTGTGTGCGCGTTTGTGTGTGTGTAGTGAAGAAAACACACCTCTTCCGCCTCCTGTCCTCGAGCTCAGCGAGCTTTTGTTTAACCCGATTGTTGCCAACTATTTTGTGGTAACGTCAGCAGATGGTTTACAAGTGAATTGCATAATTTCAAAAACAGATATACGAGTTTTTAAATCATAAAATAACATCAAAGCTGTCAGTGGGTTTGGTGATTTTCAACAAATAGGCCAAGTTACATTTACTCCACTTCCTGTATATAAAATTCAGATAAGAACAACACTGGTTTATTTATGATCTGAATCAGATAGAAAAAAAATAAAAACAAAAGATTCATATGACGAATATTCTTGAAAAACATCAAAAGGGTGTTGGAGTAAATCAGTGGTTCCCAACCTGGGGGTTGCAGCCCTGCAAAGGGTCACTCAGTAAATCTGAATTAACAGGATAAGAAAGCCAAAAAGAAAAAAAAAAACATTTGTTTTACAAAATTAGTTTTATTCTTTAGATTTAATTTTTTTTTATTATATTATTATTAATTTATTATTGGATAACATGAGATCTTCAGGCCTCTAAAAATTATTCAAATACATACAGCCAGAATTACATTCTGTCAAAAATAATTTAAAAATACCTTAAACACATCTTGGCCACACAAAGATGTGTTGAGGTGTATTAAAATGTAGAATTTAAATTATTATTTACATATTCTGACGTATAGATCAGTGAGAGGCCTGTGAAGCAGACCGCTATAGTCAGTAGAGCCTTGCTGCTCAGCAGGGGAGTGTCCTTGAGCCATATCACACTTATTTATCTGAGGCGTTCTCACGGCTATCCTGTTTCATGTGATTCACATGTCTAAAGCCTATAACTGTACACACTCATAATAAAAACAGTCAGCAGTATTTCAGTGTTATGCACTGAGTGTTTATTAGCACTTCTGTCTTGTTTCTGTCGCATTAAATCAGACATACATACAGTCCTGTCCAACTTCTATCCGTGGACAATTTACTACGGTGTTTATATACGCAAAATACCAGCATACTGCATTGTTATCAACTGGTATTGCTAACCAAGGCTAACATGGCCAATCTGGCTGAGTCAAACCCCATCAAGTTGTCCGACTCAGGTGTGATGTCATTCACAGATCCAACTTCCGATTTCCAAGGTAAATGGGATGCAGCTTAACTCCACATCTCTGTCCTCAGTGAAGGTCACAGAACAAGGCCCCGCCTCCCATGTTCTGGCTATCTGTGGGTTTGGCAGAGGGAGTCACAGAGGCCTCACTAAGCTAAGAGGACCTCCTTCTTCAGCTGGTGTCCATCAACAAGTTCTTGAGTTGCCCCTGTGAACTTCAAGCCACAACTCCAAGCAGCCACCTCAGCAAAGGAGGCTTTGAAAGGCTTCTCAGATTCTCTGTACCTCTCCCTCAAAATGCAAGAAAAGTTCATCTGGTGGATGTTGATGATTTGGCAGGTTAGGCTCCTCTGCCTGACATTTTCAGTTCATCCTCACGACATTTTTTTGGGCTTTACCGCACCCAACCAGCAGCTTTCCCTGTCGTCTCATCCAGCTCACTAGCAGGTGGGTAAGACACATGGCTGCAGTCCAACAGTACAACCACACAGCTGATCATCAATCTTCAGGTAAAAGTGTTTTGGTACCATACATTTATGAACCGTCCTTTGCTGAACATGGATGGCACCATTCACACTGCTACAGTTTTCAGGTGCTGATCACAACAACAGAGAAAAAGATGCATCAGACACTTTTAGTGCAGGTGCTTCCAGCATCACGGGATGAACAAAATCCTCCACCGTGATGTGTTGGTGATTCAACTTTTATTTTCTCTGTAATTTGTGTGCTGGGTCCCTGCATAGCCTAAAGAGTGTGCTCTTATTTTTAGCCTTGTTACAGTGTTAATATTACATATTAGAGTAAACGATACCTCACACTCATTGAATTGCAACAGGTGTCAAAGATGGCTGTCAACTAGGGCCATTTTGGTCCACTACTGTTGGACAGTATTTCACCACATTGTTGCTGTATTTGTTGGTTCTACCAGTGATGTTATAACATTGCATTGATGCCCTGAGAAATATGAAACTAGTTTTTATCTGTGTCAGTAATAGATTTCGAATGAAACTCATTTTCAATCATATTGTATTTACAGTTTGGGTTTATTTACCATACCAAATTTAATTTTGTGTAAAACTTTTTATTTTACATTTTATGTCCACAACATTTAAAGCAGTTAAAGCAGACCAATATTTCATCGCGTTAGATCACAATCAGTAATTAGTTAAACAGTGAAGATATAATGGAAATGTACAACAGTTCATTAAAGGCCTTTAGTTACAGAAGTCTAAAAAAAGAGTACAGTTAGGGTCTTGTGCATATGTCATATGGCATAATTCCTTTCAATTTTCATTTACAAAAATTGTAAAAAGAGTTATTGAAATATCATTTGCAAAATAGCTGAAACAAAGATGTATTCAGCAGTACAGGGAGACTCTGCCAGCTCTTGCAAAACTTCCAGAGTTGTTGATGACAGAAGCCAAGCAGAGCTGCTCTGCATCCTGTGGAGCTGATCTCTCCATCACCTCTTCTCCACTTCCACCTCCTCTTCCTCCTCAAGAGGTCACACCACATGCTGTGGAGGAAAAGGATACTTGAAATCTATCCTTTTGTTAATTTGTGCACCATATAGCATCTGCCGCATTCATACCGTGGTTAAGTGCACAACAGTGTACGCAGTGATGATCACAAGGCCAATGGCAAAAGAAACAATCCCCAGGTGGAGAGCTTTCCGACCCAGCCGCTTGGAGCCCTCATAGTCCTCTTCCTCATAGCTCTTTTGAGCCTATAGGGTGAGTGACAGGGGAATTCAAGATTCGTTATGAAAAGGCATGTACTGTGCTGAAGCACCTTCAGTGTCAATAAGGCGATATGCATGGGTAGCATGCTACACATGACCAAGGCATGTGTCTTTTATGGGAATCTGTGCTGAACATTTAGCGAGGAAATGATTCTGAATTCCAACCAAATGTCTCTCCTTGCACCTGCCTTTCTTGTCATGTCTAATTCATATTCGTATGGATGCTAATATCCTTAGCAATGAGAAACAGTAGATTGCTGTCCCTCATCTTGTTACTCACAGCTACAGAGATGCAACAGCTGCTGTCGGCACGATGACTCAACACACCCGTCTCCCCTCAGACAGCTCAAAGACTTGAGACAAATGTAAACGAGTTGCTCCCATCTGACGCTTCTTTAAACTTTGTGGCTTCACGGCAAATGCGGAATATTTACCAAAATATGTTCCTCTCATTGAAACACAGATGGGGTAAATTCGTTGTGTAGAACAATACATTACACAGTTATAAACATGGTTTGGCACTTTGAGGAGTGGATGAAGTTGTCTGTAATAGCAATACATCACGTTTGCTGCTTGATCAGTAGACAGACAAACAAACATGGCAGTTAAGTGTTAATGTAATTAATTCAGACCTGACATGTAACCATCATCAAATAAGGCCGTTGGTGTTTTTTACAGCAACTACACTAATCTCTAATCTACTTATCCATGTGACATGACGCATGTTAAATGATCTTTATGTGCTGCCTGCAGATAACTGAAACTCATTTCAAAAAATCACTTAAATTATGTTATTCTGTAAATATCCATAAATAGGAACCAAGCATGTCAAGAAGCTTTCAGCATTGTATAACTTACCAGCACAGAGAAGATCAGCGCCACAATATTGATGGGCCATGCAGGACAGAAACAGGTGAACATGGTGAGACAGAGATAGTTCCTCAGAGGGGGAATCTCCTGAGCCATCCCGCATTTCAGGTAGTCAGCGCTCCCGTCTAGTGAGGACTTGGTGGTCATGACCGGCTGCCGTCCCCCGAGATAGTAAAAGCAGAGAGGCGAGGCACGGGGCTGAGACACTGGGAGAGTGGAGGTGGAGGCAAGGGAGGGGAGGCAGTGGAGCAGTGATGATGGAAGAGAGAAATCAGCCAGCAGAGAGATATGAGAGGGAATCAGAGGCCCGAAAAGTCTGAGCAGACTGAAGAAAGACAGACTGAGTGAATGCTGGTGTTGCGTAGAAACAAGAAAAGGACTGGAACACTTTAAGATTGAGAGACATTTTTATAGACAGTTTTATAGCTTAGAAAATATATAGTAACTTACAATGTTATAGTAATTTAGTAAAGATGCATATAAATTTAGTACAAATTTATAATTTTCCACAAACTAGTAGTATTTGTACAGAAAATATATAGTAATTGAGTATATTTGTATTCATTTAGAGCACGGTCATAGTATATATTACAAATGGTTTGGTAGTTCTCAAGTGAATGTATTAGAACAGCAAAACTGTTCTCTTCACAGTGTACATACGGTTATACAATTATACAAAGCAGGAAAAACGCATCAGTAGTGAAATGAGGTTTCCTCATTTTGTTTGTTATATGTGATGCGAAAATGTGTGAAAGCCTCTCACCTTGTACGAAGCTCAGATTATCCTGACTGCAGAGGACCACAGAGCACAATGCTAATGAAGAATGATGCCCAAAATTTGTTGGACAAAAAACATAGCTTGAGCTTTATAAATGAGACACACATTCTTTTTTTTTTTTCGCCAAATTTGCATTTCTGTTAATCTCACGTTCAAAAGAAAAAACAGTACACATATATGGAATGTTTTAAAATAATTTATTAGGAATTTTAAAAAGTTTTTTTTTTCAAAGGAATAAACATGACAGGAAAAAGAAAATCAGAAAATGTTACAGTGTTGACAAGATTGTTATTTTTCAGTGAAAACAGCATCAAAGTATGACCTACCCTGGTAGGCCACAGCAGTGTGAGCAAGTGTATCAAAATGTAAAACCTGGTACTTCGTAGATGAAGAGTGCTTTGTTCTTAAGCTAACATTCGAAGGAAAACACATTTTATCGTGATCGGCCAGTGCAACGTCCTAGTAGCTCTGAACATAATTGTTTTGGTCTAAAAATAGCTGTCACATTGCTACAGTCTGTGACTTCCAGTGGATATGCAGTGATGGATTGGGGGTGCGAGAGGTGGGGGGGTTGACAGGTAAACAAGAGTTAATAAGACCCCCCCCCCTTTCTTGTTGGAAAAGCCACCTTTCTAAAAGGTTCAATCATCCTCACTTTGACGTAGATGTTAATGTAATAATAAAAAAGTCAGATTAAAATTTCACATTTGCAACTGAGGTACCCCA